TGAGTATGGCCGGTTCTCCCTGAGACATTTCCATACTCTTCCATACTCCTACTATATATAAATACTATTCCGTAGTAAAAGCTAATTTTTTAAGTCAATTAAACAATACCATATATATAAAATATTGTAATGTTCATTTGTTCGAAAGTTTAGTTTCTGACTCGAACTGCCAAATTCAATCGTTCAGTTTATAAGTCTCTCGCTTTAGCGATACTTAGGAAAGGACACATATGGAAGGGCTGTAAATATGTACAGTGTGTAACTTCGTTTAGGACATCGTTTGTTTGGTTTTATTAACAATTACATTATTGTAGTACTACATTCGCTTCTTGTGGGAGAGAGGGAATATTAATAAGAGGGAAAAATTCTATTACAATGACATGGTTGCTCCTTGGTGATGGTGGCGATGTCGTTGATGATATGGGGATCAGCAATGGATTTTGTATATTGCCTGCAGGGAAATATAACTTGTTGGGTTCTATGCCAACGTCATAAAGGTCAGCAAGAACAGTCGACCATGCTCATCAGGGGAGTATGGTAATGTCTCTGTGGTAGTTATCAGGGAGAATCGACCATACTCATAATAGTGTTATTACTGTGTGCTAGTTATTCTCAATAACGACACATGATATACCTTCGAGTGTAGAAGGGTCAGATACCATGCTTTGTGTAGTCGACTATTTTCTAGAACTGCAGTCAGCCCTTGATGGATTGTTGTCTGTGTGCACTGGAGAAGTGAACGAGAGTCCTTGCAAAGGCTGCGCTGAGAGAGCATGTGTTGGGTGATTTTCTCCTTGTTGTAGACTCCGTGTGATAGCGTGGCACAGGCGTCGATGACTGGCTAGGACGAGTGACTGATTGTGAGGAATAAGTGACACTGTGCACTTTATGACTATCGACACTACATACTAAATGTCTGCTTCATATTAACTACGTGGAGTCTTGATATGCCCTTCGTTCAGTATCAGCGCGGCAACTAACACTAGCGAGAATCCAAGCTTTTGACTATTGGAGAATTCGGCGAAAGCTAACGTAATCGTTCGAGGCTAAGCAGCCTTCGGAAACAATCGAAAATCCAAGCGTTCGGCTATTCGAAAATTCGGTGAAAGCAAACCTTGGAAGATTCGTTAATTCAATCGACGTTGCTACGCAAAGGCTAATAAGTAGCCTTGTAGAACGTTCGAGAATTCTAACTTTTGGCTAGTCGGGAATTCGGCGTGAGGAAATCACAGCATAAATTTTAGCATATTAACTTCTATTAATTTTATATATTAACAACATTAAGAAATTTGAAGTAATCTATTAATAACATTTATATTAGAAATAATTGTGTAAAAATGTTTACAAAATCTTTTGTACTAACAATTTGTTAATTAGCTTTTTAATACTTTTGCAAATTATGAAGATATTTTTACTTATACAATTTACAGAAGATTTTTTTAGTAATACAGGTGATGAAGGCTTTGCAAAATAAAATTATAGTTATATATGCATTATCAATATTAAAATTATTTACTTTATATTATATAATATATTTCACATATTCTGAGTGATAACTTATGAATAATATTATTCTGATTAATAATTATTTAATATTATTGCAGATAAATGGAAATTATACTTCATAATTATTAATTAAAACTTGATTTACACTTGATTATTTGATATTAATAATACATTGAATTTTGTTAATCAACTTAATGGAGATAGAAAAAAAGATGCAATATATAAACAGGTCAATCATAAAATTTCAATGGAAATTACAATAAAAATTATTAACATTTTCGCTAACTATTATACATTAATAAAATGCTTAAATAATCAGTGGTTACCGGATTGAATTTTTAAAACTAATAGCACTTTTTTAATTGATCATATTATATAACGTATGCTATATCTTGCTTCTTACGGCTATAGACAAACATTATTGTTTTAAAGTGAGCATACAGTATATCTTAGTTGTATTGATGTTATGGCGTTGGTCGTCTGTGATGCAGTGCGGTAGTCGAGGAGCTCCTTTAAACTAATATACAGACCTGTGATATATGTATGCTAATGTGCCGTTATATGCTAAATACATATAGACTTTCAATCAAGATAAAGAGCTTTTATTATACAATTCGAGAATAGTCTCTTCATACAACTTTAAAGAAATATGACAGTTACACCTAAAATTGATACATGTAAACCATTATCTTAACAGTTATGTACAACTCTTGTATCGATTATGTTCAATTATTTTATCCAACACTCAAATTTAGTATGAGTGTTGTGTATAGTGTACTACACAATAATACACTTATAAGCAAGCATGCCTATGGGAGGTATTAAAATGATATTATGTATTATTTAAAATATAGATTTTAAATGTATTTTGTTATTATTATTTTAAATATTCTAATGGACTTAGAAGAAATATTTATTATTATATTTATTTATTTATTATTATTATATTTATTATAATATTTATTAGTGATGAAGTATCAAAAGAAAAATATATTTGTATATTAATATTTTTTTATTTTTATTATTATATTATCCTTATAAGTTAAATTATGTTTTCAAAAAATAATGTGCTTGCAATTTAATTCAGAATATGCATGTAAACTTAAAAACTGCAATCTTTGTATCATTTTAATGAATTCTTATGATTATGCAAGTTGGTGAAAATTTTTTTTAGTAAAACAAATTTTGATTTATCTTTTCTATCCTATTATCAAGACAAATAATATAATCATATCAAATTCTGAAAATTTATACAATTTAATGTTTTTATTACAGTATATGAATTAATAATAACAATATGCATATTTAGATCATAAATTAATTTTCTTATTATGTATTATTTATATTATTATGTGAATTATTAACTAATATCAACTACTACTTTTAAAAATTAGCATTTCTTATGTAAAAATTAATAATGTATGTATGAATAAATTATTTTAAAAAATAATATAGTTAGTATTATATATTTTATTAGTATTATATTTTAAAGTATAATACTATAAATATGTAATACACACTTAAAAATATGCTAATATGCTAATATGCTTTTACATAATTAAATTTCAAAATTATAACATTTTAAATACATAAAAAGTAAATAAATATATACAATTCCGAATATTTAGTTCATATTTCTATATGTTAAAATATTTTTTAGGATTCATACATTTTTTATTCGAAAAATCTAAAGAATTGTATTAATTTTTATCTGAAAACATAGTTTTATATTCAATACGGTGTAAATAAAAGAAATCTTTTTTAATTTATATAATTAAAAAAGTGTATACATATTTGAGTGTTCTGCTTTCTATTTTTTTGTTTTCATTATTTACCTTGTTTAAAATGTTTATTTAATCTTAAATTTTTTTGTTATAAGCTGATGTTGTATATGTGTACTAATGAAGAATCAAGAATAATGCTTTTAAATAAAACAGATGTATTTTTTAAATCAATACAATGTCCTCGGGAAGCGAATTTGGCATATAAATAATTTATCAAGGAAATTACTTTAAATATTTTTTACTTACATAGTAGAAAATCTTATAAGAATTAATAAGGTTATTAGTAAAAGTAATAAGTTAAAATCGTTGTGCTATACATATATGTATTTTTATTGTAGAAAAATAAGATCTTTCATATTATATATATATATATATATATAAATATATATATAAATTCTTTCCTGTTATATAATATTATACAAATATTTGATTAATGCCTTTGTAATACATATTTATTTATATATAATATTAATTTGTAAGATATCTATTATTTTAAAATATAATCAATTACTTATTTCGATCCTTATCAGCAATATTTTTATATGTTTAGTATAAGGCATATATAAATTATATTAATTTAAATCTTTAGTAAACGTAAAATCTAAACATACTGCAACTTTTATATTAATCTGAATAAACGAATAATACGAATACGTGTAAATTAATGTTAGTTTCAGAAGGAAAGTCAGAAATAAAAGTTATTAATAAAACAATAATAGTAATAAATAAAATATAAAATAAATTTTTTTTTATATATTTTTGAGAATAATATTATACGTTCTTCTGTAAATCTTTAAAAATTTTTTATCGTAAAAAATAGAAAAGACAATTTTCAAAGTATTATAACTGCCTGAATATTATCAATTCTAGTTTAAAATCAAAATATGTACTATTTGTTTTGAAAACATTTCAATTGATTCATTGTTAAATACATATAATATTGTTTCATAACAATTTATTTATAGCTCATTGTGGCAATTATTATAAACTGGGACTACTAAGTACTTTTTTCCGTAATAATAGTTTAACTTGATTATTTTTTTCATGAATTTTAAAATAATAAACTCTCGTAATTATTTTGATTTTTTAAATAATCTTTTTTACTTGAAGATTCTAAAAGAAGACAGTGTTAATCAAACATATTTTATGCATATAATTTTTATAAATACCATTAACTCTTTCTTCATATGTTAAAAATTTGTTCTCATCACATAGGAATAATGTAAACACTTATCAGAAGTTTTAAGACTAAAATATTAGTTATAGCTTCATTAGGAATGAACATTAAATATTGATAATTAATCAATAAGAATATATAAGTTCCAAAATAACTTTACCATTGCCAAGTTATTTATATTATTGTACACGTATAAAGTATTCTACTGATTCATTTTTTAACATAAATACTCTATTTTACTATATTTGTATTACAAGTAATTTAAAAAATATTTAGAATTTGTCTACAATATATTTCATAAATTATTTTAGATATAAAATTGTGGATAAATATGAAAAACGAATTTAATTATTAAATGATTATCTGACTTTCTTCTAAAAGTATAGATTTGATAAAAACATATTTTATTGACAGTTCTTAGAACGAAATCATAAAATGTATACTTTATAAGTAAAATAGCATTACAAATACGTTTTAGAAAAGTTATAAAAAAACATTTAGTCTGTTTTATACTAATACTTTTATTATTGCAGATACAAATGTGAAAAAAATGAAGTTCCAATCATGCTTACAAATGGTTCTACACTACCACTGGTTGAGCGTCCGAATGACGAAGAAGCTGATCTTTACAACCCTTTTGAACACCGTAAACTTGCTCACCCAACTAGTGATATCGATACGCTCATTCACTTATTGAAAGGTAGCCTTGGCTCAGGTATCTTAGCAATGCCAGTAGCCTTCAAAAGTGCAGGATTATTTTTCGGATTATTTTCTACTTTCTTCATTGGTGGCATATGTACCTATTGTGTGCATATATTAGTCAAGTGTGCTCATATACTTTGCAGGCGAACACAAACACCAAGCTTAGGCTTTGCAGAAGTCGCTGAGGCAGCTTTTCTCGTTGGTCCTGAATCAATTCAAAAATATGCTAGACTAGCCAAGTAAGCATTACTTACAAAATATAAAATGTATCCATTTCACTTAAAATTACTTTATATAGGCACATTTTTCCAAGTTTTTAGTTTATTTAATTTTGATAAATTTTATTTTGTTTCTATTCTTATATATATAATATTAAAATTTAAAATAAAGTTTTTCTTAATACTCCATAATACAGATTATTAGAAATTAAATTAATGATTTATTACTTCCTTTAAAAAAGTATATTATTAATGTATTATATAATAGGTATATTATAAATATATTATAAAATTTTTCATTAAAATTCTTGGTTTTGTTGTATAAACATTTATTAAAAATTTTAAAAAACTGAATTTTTGATATTAACGAGCTTTTGAATAAATATATTAAGAGAAAATTATATGTATTTTGGAATAATAATTTATAACAATCAAATTATTCTAAATAATATATTTACTTTTAAATATTGCAATACTTATCAAGTGTAAAGTGTATTATTTACAAAATCTATTATTTTATATTTACAAATTTATTTATAAACATCACTAAAAATTAAATTAATTTTATTATCTGATTACATATTCAATATTTTGATTTTAATACAACTAAAACATATTTTTAAATTGTAGTATTCATTTTTCAAAAGTGATGAAAATTCTTTTTAACAAGATAAAAAGTATATTTAATTATATTTTTAAATTAAATACAAAAATAATATTTTCAATTTAAAGATTAAAACTGTTTGAATTTTTCATGTTTAACATGTTTTACATTATTACTTTAAAATATTATTTTTATATTTATTGGAAAAATATTTTCAATATTATAATAATTAGATGAATTAATAAAAAATATACTCGACATTTTAATTTTTTATAAACTGTTAGTAATAGTAATCTTAATTGATTTTATTTAATATTTAAGATTTTTAATATGAATGAAATATTTATAAATAACATAAAAAATATTATTGTAAATAATATTAATTTGTATAACATAAATATAAGAAAATTAATCCAGAAATTATATTGATCTTTCTTTTTTTGATAACATAAAACATTAAAATAAAATAATATTTAATTTATGTATAACATATTTTATAATAATTTTATAACAATTCTATATAACATATTTGTTATAATAATAATCATTTAAATTTATTTGAAATGATTAAATATATATACGTAATTTACAAATAATATTTTTATTTTACATTACAGAGCAACAATCAATTCATTTTTGGTATTGGATCTTATAGGATGCTGCTGTGTATATGTTGTTTTCGTTTCAGAAAACATTAAACAAGTTGCGGATTTTTATATGGATCCAGATTGGGATGTAAGAATTTACATGGCGATGCTGCTTCCTTTTTTGATTGTTTTTTCGCTTGTTAGAAATTTGAAATATTTAGCTCCATTTTCTATGATAGCCAATGGTTTAATTGCTGCTGGATTGGGAATTACATTCTATTATATATTTTCTGATTTGCCGTCTGTTGAAGGTGTTAGAAAAATTTCATCTTTGAAAGAAATGCCACTCTTCTTTGGTATAGCTATATTTGCCTTGGAGGGTATTGGTGTTGTAAGTAATTTTTTATTTTTAATTATTTAAAGCTATTTATTGGATTGATTACAAAATATCTTAAGTACAGTTTTGTAGATTTAATAATTTAATATATGTTATTAAGTATACATTAGAAATCGAATTTCTATAATACGACTGAATTTATAATTAAACTTATTTTATGTTTAATTGATGTTTGTAGCATAGTTATATATTAGAAATAATAACAATTTTTAGGCAATATTTTTAAGAATAAATTACATGTATTAAAAAACTAATATAAATATTATTTTAATTGTTTTATAAATATTCAAAATAGAATATATTTTTATCTATTGATCCTTATTTATTTACATATATAAAATAAAATAACTATATAGAAACTGAGAAATTTATATACATTTTGTCTTTTATATCTTCTACAATAAAGATATTATTTCAATAATTTATTTCTATTGTTTCTGTAAAAATACGTTTCAGTATAAATTCAAATTCATTACATTATTAATTTGAAATCTTAAAAAGTTCGATTAATATATCATGTATAAATATGTATACAAAATGATTATACTTGATTTTTATTAGTTTTCTATTTATTTATTATTAGTTAATTATTATTATTATCTAAGCATTTATTATTATCTAGCAAAGATTTATTTTAATAAAATATTTTTATAGAAAATATATTTACAACTATTTAATAAGAATATATCAATTCTACTTTTTCTGAAATATAGAAGTATAAGCATTTTTCTATAAGAAAAATTTGTAAAATTATTTGACATAAGAATTCGTTAATTTAATTAAGATTCTATAAAATCGTCTTAATGAGCACATTTTCGAATAAATATTATCAAAAATTTTTTTTAAATATTTTTTAAATAGGAATTTGTTTGGTTTGACGTAAAGATTTATTTTATAAAGTTAGATATTCAAATATCATGTTTTACACGTCCATTGTTTTAATACGATCTCTATTCTTACTATAAAATATTAAAATATTATACGGATAAGAACTAACTTTGTTGTAAATATTTATGTTTCAAAATAAATTATCAATAGTATTCGTAATCTTTTTGCCAATAAAATAAAATATTAAAAAAAAAATATTTTAAAAATAAAAAATATGCCATTCGTAAATAATATAATTTGTTTTCATGATCAATTTATATAGTTTTTTTTTAAGTTGTCGATATTATACTTCAGGTTGAATATATTGTCGTAATAAAATTATTTTCTTCCAACAATCTATGTTGTATAAGTAAATAATTTACTAATACATGCTATACTTCAAATAAATATAATTTCCTATTGTAATACTTATTTGGTTATTAAAATATGTACGAAATTAAATCCCATATATAATATATGTAACCATCTATATTTGATACAATTATATTTAAAATATAAGTATTAGACATACATTTATGTATAGAATTAATGTTTGTGCAGTTAAAAATTTACGAAATTTTCGTATCTAATACATTAAATGCAGTTATACTAAACAGTCATACTAAAATAGTTATTATTAAACAGTAAGGGTTAAAAAATTAGTATATTTGGAAAAAGAATTATTGATAGTAATGACTAAAAATGATGTGTAAGACAGAATTAAGTGCTTCAATGTTTAGAGTATTATGTGAGTCATATGTTTATTAATTGAAAAAATTATCATCATTCAAGTAAAGTTAAAATATTCTTATCTAATAAATTGTGAAAAAAACCAAAACATACTGTAGAATATTATCAGAATTGCTTCAAACAGAATGTTAGTATAAGCATAAAGGATGTGTCGATAAAATAAAAATTAGAAATAAACAAAATATTTCAATAAACATTGAATTATTATTAAATATATAAACCATACTTGTATGAGCAGTAGACAAGTATTTAATAGAATTTAAAATATTTGAAGTTTGTACTAATAAAAGTATACAAATTGTAGTATATCAATCGTTGAAAAAACTTATGAGAATAGAACTTAAAATCTGTAAACGATAAGAAGGAATCACAAAATTATGCTTGAATTATGTTATATTGGAAATATTATATTGATATAAGACAAAAAATACTACCCGTGATGAACTTATAAATATTATTTTAATTTTAATTAAAAAATGATTAAATTTAGTATTAAAGATTTTTTATAATGACTTATCAAATAATAATTTATTAAATCATTTTTCAGAATATGTATTGAAAATACTAGTGACAAAATAACATTCAACGTAGTCACTTATATTGTATTTTACATTTTTAATTAAACGTTATAAAATAATTCTATTAAAGTTACTAAAAAATAGTATAGACTCATACTGTAATGATTATAGTGTACAGGCTAATCAATTGCAATTGAAGCTTCTTGAATATTTGTTGATATATTGCGTGCAATGTTAATGTTAATTTGTGTCATCTCGAAAAGAAAAAGAAGATAGTATCGCAAGATATCTAATTCTGCTACCGTGGATTAAAGGTAAAAACTTAAAATTTTTAAATTACATTTTTTAATCATACTGAACTACTATCAAAAAATATTCATTAGATTACTTGAAATTTGAACGTATTATATATTTTATTGTAAACTATATTTTGTCGTGAAAAGCAATGAAATGGTAAAAGGCCACAAGTTCTCTAAAAAATAAATATTTAATAAATGTTATAAAAAATATTATATAAAATAAATACTTACAAAAACTATACTTTTAATATTTTATATAAAAAAAAATAACAAATGCAGAGTTCTATAAATATTTTTTTAGAAAATTGTATAAAGAATGATAAAAATAATTTTTACTAAATAAATAGCTTTAATTATAAATTTTTAATTAATAATAAAAATCAATTATTTTGAGTAGCAAATTTGCAGTAGCAATTTGAGTAGAAAATTGTATCTTAATGAATTAAATTGAATTGTTTATAGAATTTATAGCTTAAAAAACTAGGGCGTTAAATTATTTTATTAGTTATATATATATATATATATATATATATATATATATATCATTATTTTAATAAAAAATGCTCGATGAAGAAAAATTATTCAATTTAACTACTACTGTAGTGTGTTATTGAAAATTACGTAATTCAAAGTAAAAGATAATTAGATGTATGCAATTTAGAAATTCAAAACTAATAAGGGTTAGCTTATGAATTTGTGTAATAAACATATTAAAGCACATGGAAATTCAGATATGAAAATATAATTCCATTTTGTATTTTCCTCCTTTAATAAACTATGATATTTTGTATCATGAGTGAAACTATTTAATTTACAATGCGTCAGCGTCTACTCAATAAATTTAATAATTGAATTAAATTATAATATTTATCAATTTCATAGTTTTTATAATACCGAGGAATTGTTAAAGAAAAATTGTAAGATTATTTGTAAGAATGTTTTGTACTTCAATAGATGTTGGGTATGATATTAGAAACCATAGAGTTTAAATATTTATTATATAAGTGTTAGATTAAAAAATTCAATTTAAATATTTCAGTTTTGTAAAATAAATTTCAATAAAATAATTCAAATTATTAATCACTATTAAAGGAGTTTATGTTTATGTCGCGTTTGTATTATTTATATATACATAATAACTAAGAATTTGCATTTATTAAACATACAACATAGTAAAGTAGATAATTATAAAATCATTTGATAATAGAATATTAATTTCCATGTTTAATGATACATCATATTATTATATAAAAGTCTGTTATGGGATTATACTTACTATAGTTGTATATACATATACACATATTACTTTTGCAAAATCATATTTATTAGGCAACAAATTAATAATTATTTTATATGAAACTTAAAAAGAATCCAATGTTTTATTGAATCGCAATTAATTTGATGCATATTAAAAATTGAAATTTATTGTTTTAAAAATAGAATTTTTACCTATGAATCAGAATACCTCGTAGAATTCATATACCTTAATATAATCAATTAAAACCTGTAGATTTTCTACTCTTGAAAAATACATAAAATTTGCGATACATATAATGATACAATTTTTTTTACTAAGTATCATACTTCATTGTTACAACTTCCTTTGTAATATTTAAATGTATTTCCAAAGGTAATCTAAATAAATTATTACAAAACAATAAATTTCCGGTTTGAAGATTCGTATTTCGAAGTAAATGAACTACGGCTTTAATACTTTAAACTAAGTATGCATAAGCTTCAACAGTTTCTGAGTTCTTGCATATATATGCCTCAACCACACTCGGTAATATGATATTCGATTTTCTAACATTATTAATTTTTAAATTATTAAGATTTTATTTAAGAAAAAAAAACACGATTGTTTGATTTTGGAAAGTTTTATATTTTAACAAAGTATCTTAAAAAATTGTACTAAAGATATATTGCAGATAAAAGATAATGATTATAATATCTAATATAATAAAAACTCAAATACATCTATTTTATATTTAGTCGAAATTTTTTGTGAAAACTCAATAACACTAACATAAGAAGTCTAATATCTAATATCTAAGTATTATACTCTAAACTTTTAAATAAAATTTGTAAGATTTAAATATTTTGTAGGTTATGCCTTTGGAAAATAACATGAAAACTCCGACCCATTTTATTGGGTGCCCCGGAGTTTTGAACATTGGTATGTTCTTTGTTATAACTCTGTACAGCATTGTCGGTTTCTTTGGCTATTTAAAATATCAAGATGGTACCAGAGGCTCAATTACTTTAAATCTAGATGAGACAGAAGTTTTTGCACAAGCGGTTAAGTTGATGATAGCTGCTGCCATTTTTCTTACATACGGCCTACAATTTTACGTACCAATGGAGATAATTTGGAAGAATATTAAGCATATGTTTGGAGCACATAAGCTTATGGCTGAGTATGCCTTACGTGTAACCTTAGTATCATTTACTGTTTGTATGGCCATTGCAATTCCAAATCTTGGACCGTTTATCTCACTAGTTGGTGCTCTCTGTTTATCTACCCTCGGTCTTATGTTTCCATCTGTAATAGAGCTTGTGACATTGTGGGATCAAAAAAATGGCCTTGGACGTTGGAATTGGCGACTTTGGAAAAACTTCTTCACTATTTTATTTGGAGTGCTTGGCCTTCTTACAGGCACTTACACTAGCATTTGTGAAATTACTGCAGTAAAAAATGGTACCAATACTGGCTATTAAAATATATTGTTAACGGATGTAATTATCTTAGTACACGTTTTTTACCTAAAATAAAAATATATAGGTAATAAAAAGAAAATAAGCTTAAAGTTTCTCCATAAGCTTTTAAACCGATCAATTTACTGAATTTAATTAACTATAATAAGTATAAAAGCAAAAAGGACTTCAATCGCTTAACTTACGACTAATGACAAAGTATCTTGGTTGATCGCTCGGAAACCCGTCGTCTTCCATTAAAAATACAAAATCAACAACTCTAATTTATATACATGTAGACTAGTTCCATAAATTAAATATTTTCAATTATAAGCTATTGTATGTAAAACGTTAATTTAGTAGTATTTGTATACAGGTATAAGATGAGCTTCTGCTGGCGAAGATCATTCATGCATTCGAGTTTATTTGACGACATTCAATCATTATTGTATACAGCCATTGTAAAAAATATATATTGTAACTATTTATTTTAATTTATTACATTAACTATTTTTTATTTTTTTCAATTTATCATAGAAATAAATTAATACAGTATATGGTGTCCAACATTTTAATCGGTAGAAGCTCAATTTTCCTACAAAAATCTGAAGAATCGTGTTTGCACCATATAATGATACATTTATATATATATATATATATATATATATATATATATATATATATAGCATACATTATTTCGTTAGATTAATAAATGAATAATTCTAAAAATTAAATAAAACTGTATAACAAACTTTCATATTGATCCGTCCGCAAATATGTGGCATTAAAATTATTTTTAATGCTACTATCAGAAAACAATTTAATCTAAAGCATACTTTTTCTAAAATATAATATTTATATAAAATATTACATAATAAGAGATACTTTATATAATCAGTGTTATAAATTTTCAATAAAAAAATTGAACTTTATAATTGACATGATGCAAGTAAATTGTATTTATAATTTTAAATTAACATGAAGCTTCACGTACTGTGGTTATATTCTTGAGTGATAGTTGCTGTTAGTATTGTAACATTATAAAAGAAATAAATACGCCAAATCAGGAATATGCTTGACTAGTGTCTTTATTCGAGCATTTTTTAATTTAAATTTTAATATTTAAAAATCAAAAGTATTGTACAACTGACTCGTATGCTTATGTACATATTTGATAGTTAATTATTTTAAATTTTTGGCGTATTAAATTTTATATTCGATTTCTGTTGTTATCAATTATTGATTAAATATTGTTTGAGGCTAACAGTAAAAACTTAATTAAAAATTTTAATATTTCAATATCGTGGATTTTTACGTATATATTTGGTACTGTGATGAACCTTTATTTTAGTGCCTGTAGTAATTGCCTACCGAAAGCAACTAAATACTGTTGAAGTACCATTACGCAAGTATATGAAATTAATATCCATATATAAAACAAACATTACATAAAGAAATGAAAAAAAAACAGAGAAAGAAAAAACAAAGAATAAATAAAAATAAATTAGTGAATTTATGAATCCAATAAAGATAGACTTGAATAAAAGTATGTAAGTGAAAAATCAACTCAAGTCAATAAATTTATAATTTTTATTTTTCAGGTAATGAAATATTATAACTACTAATATTCAATTACTATTTTATTGTAAAAAATATTTTGAATGGGTTAAAAATTTTGAATTTTATATAAGTAATGTCATTTTCAAATTTTTGTATTTTACAATTAAAATTCTTTTTAATATGTCTAATCAATGTTATGTGAATATCCTGTTATAAAATTAATTAAGATCATTGATTTCAAAATAATTTTTATTTGCAATTAAAATATTCACACGAACTTTTAAGAAATTATTTTTATTAATAAATAATATTTTATATATTTCGTATATTACAAACGATTTATTTAATTGAATTGGATGCTCAATTTCATAATTGTGAAAAATATTACAAATATTATCCCAATATTTTCAATTCAGAAAATGAATATTAAATTACAATATTAATTTCTTAAATTAAATTAAATTAATATCAAGGATTTTTATATTCATAAAAATATTAATTCTATAAAATAATTTCAAAATGTTTAATGAATTTTTCAATTCAATTTTCTACTAAAAATTGCAACACATTGAATAAACATAATAATAAATTTAACTTAATTCTAAACATAGTTATGTACTTTTACTCAAATTGTTTTCATTGGTGATGTTTAATATCAGTTTATTATTATTATTTTAAAAGATTGTGCTTCACAGATGTGCTATATTATGATGCTATATTATTATTTAATAATTGCATTATATAATTACGTTTAATATTCAAAAAATCTATTTACAACATATACTCAATAGTCAATCCTTAGAATTAACTTTAATTATTTTAATACACACACAAAAATTGTATTAATCATTTTGAAATTTCAAAATGCGTTATTAATTACAAAATGTTCTTCAATAAATATAGTAGTTCTCTTTAACTAAAAGCTAAATAGTAATAATAATCAATATTAAAGAAATAAAAAATTAACTTATCCAATAATATTAATAATAATAAATATTAAAAGTTTTTGTCTATTACAATTGTAAAATATAAATTTATTGATCAATTTCTATAAAATATAGTTGTATTTTAAAAGAAACTTGTATTTTATTAGGATAATATAAGACATTTATGCATTAATTTTATTATATTTGTATATATTTTTGTTCATGTTAATGAAAAATTACTTTAAATTTTTATTTTAATATAAGTTATCAAGAAACTTTTTGATTATATAGTTTTATTTGCCTTGTGAAATGAATTTTATCCTTATATAATAAACATGAAATATATCTAGTGCACCGTGTTTCTGTTCAAATATTCTGATAAAAATTAACATAATTTAATATCTTTTTTTAATTTTTTATATAAACACTTTAAACTGACATTCTTTTTGTAGTTAATAGAAGTTATTCAATTCGCTGAAAGTCATTAAATAACACACAGATATATTTAAATAAAAAAGAAATGTAAATATTATTTTAAAATATTATTTATTATTATTTTTAATTTCCATTATGCTCAAGTTATTCAACAAACACTTAATGTTGTCATGAATTTTAAGTTGTATATCTTGGAAATCGTCCAATTTTCCACATTCATATACTCTCAAATTTATACGAAGTAACAACAGTTTCAATGTTCTTGAATTCAATATCTTGTAAAAAAGGAAAGTATTTGCTATTTAGAATTTCATCTTTAAAAGTGTAAAACATGTATGTTTATATAAAGTATCTATATCATTTAAGAAACGAATTTATTGATAAAAAGTCAATTGAATCTCATACTTAGTTCTAGTTTAATATAAAATATACTATAAAAAAAATACACATAGATCTTTATAGTTCTGCCTGTCTCAATATAAGAAATAAAACAATACTGGTTTCTTTGTTTAATAGGAATATTTTTATAGAGAATGATGTCCAAAAAATTCCAAGTCTATAAACATAATTTATCAAAGCTTTTCAAATTTTAAACAGAAAAGAGTTTTAAAAATCACAAACACTTCAGATTTCGTTTAAAAACTAATACATTATTTGGCACTACTCATTAATGATGAATTTTTCTCATGTTATTTATTGTTAATTATATTGCTATTTATATCAGTTAATCATATAGTCTATTCATTTTTCTTGGACTTATATTAATCTATATATATCTATATATTAATCTAATGAAATAAATGCCGACAAAACTGAAATCATATTTGATATCAAATATTTAAAATTATAAGATAGTTAAACGTAGATAAATATATTTAAAATGTTTATGCATTGTTTAAAATACATTCAAATGCTTACTTTGAAGTTAATTAAAATAGTTTCATATTTTAAGTTTACTATAATTTCACTTAAATTTCACTTAATAATAGTTAAAAATGACTAATCTGATATTATATTAATAAAAGATTTTTGTTTGAGGTATTTTTTAATCAAGGCATTGATGCGATTAAAGTATTATTTTTACTTCTTAAATATTATTGAATTCAGATTTAGGTTAAAAGATACAAATAAAATGGATAACGCATTATAATGTTAATACTAATAGCATGCAAATAATAATCTATGAAATAATGATAAAAGTTACAATTTAGTGAAAAAAGGAATATTTGGTTATTCATTATCAATTTTGCTTGCGAATGGTAACGTATGGAATATAAAGAGAAAGAAAGTATCGATTAGTAACACGTATAATCTTGGTTCATATTTAATTTTTATAGTCAGACCAGTTTTTATATTTAAAAATTAAGGAAAATAATAAATTAAATAATATATATATATATATAATAGAATTTAAAATAAGAAATACAGGCTTATATAATTTTGTATATCGCAAAATATTGCCGGAACCATTTTGACTTATACGTTTTGCTACAATTTTAATAGTAATGTACATGTATATCAAGAGAATTTAAATTTATTTAAAAATTATATAAATATTAGACTTTTTATTATCAGAAAATTGTAATTTACCAGTAAAAATTATTTAATATAATTATATATCATATTTTCCTATTACAGTTAATAGAAACGTAGCAGAATATAGTAAAATTGTAATTTAAATCAATCAAAATATACTAAATTTAAAACCACATATACGTTATTATTTTCATTTAAAATCTAATATAGTATGGTAATAAATTGATACGTATAATTTTTGTATATCAATATTTCTGAAATTTTTTATACATTTACATAATTTTATTAATTTATTTGGATGGATCTATTCCATTTCACCTTTTTTTTAACTTTTACTAAAAACTTTTTCATTTCTTAATGTTAGTATTTATTGGATCCTTATTTGTATATAGATCAAAATTAGAAATACTTAATTTGTAAGAAAATATTTTTAATTAAAATACTAATTATGTTTATACCGAAAAAAACAAATTGATTCATTATGTAAACGTAGTCATATATTTTATTAAAAGTTTGCAATAATCGATGTGAATTAGATTGGTCATCAAACTTTAATTATTGAAAACGGTAATCTATCTCTTTGTCAATTTTGAACTTGAAATTTCAATGTGATTAAAAATGGAGTCTTTGGTATAAAGATAGTAACAGTTGCGTTATATAACAAACCATTAAAAATACAATGCCTATAAATTATTGACAAATCAAATATTATATACAGCCTTGTGAAATTTCTGGATTAAATAGTAATGTTAGAAAGCTGTCAACGTGTTTTTAAATCAAAAACATTCTAAAAATAAAGAATGTATTGAAATACGAAACAAAGTTAAATTCGAAATAATCTGTAGACATTATAAATTAAGTTATGTTACGATAAGTGTCTCTTTCATAAATAGTGTATGTATCAGAAACTTATAAGAAACTTTGAGTAATTAGCATAAATTATTCAGATCATTCAATCTGACGAATTTCAGATATTGAACCACTTTTTAATTTTTTTAGTGAAAAGCTGTTGCTACATTTCTTATTTACACAAGAAATTTTAATCCACTTATTTAGAAATTAAGAAAGTTCCTCGTTAATTTTACAAAAATAAAACTATAATTATAAAATATTGCTAATGTAAAACCTAGTCAAAACCTATAAAACAAAATTCAGAGAATATTTATTCAAAATTTATAGTTCAGATTCTAAGAAAATGTGGATTATAAATTAGAATTTATCTATATTGCATATGAAAATACGCGGAAAAAGAATATACAATGCGAACTAACGCTGTTGAAAGAAAAATGGAAAAGGGCATAATCAGAGCTAATACTGCAAAATCACAGATTAAAACTAGTATCACAGAAAAAACGAATAGAGAAATTCTATTCTATTATTGTATTTTAATATTATATTTAGTTTTCAAGTATTATATTATAGAGATTACATTTAATAGGAATCTATTTTATAAATGGATTCGCCAGTTTGGGATATTTAGAATTTTTACAATACTCGCCTTTTAGTTTTATTATTCCAAAATTATGCGTTAACGCCTGATTAATTTCTATTGCCAACACAAATGCAATATTAATACAATTTAAAACTATTCAATATCATATCACCACTTTATAAATAAAATTGTTGGTCGTTAAATATATCGTTTGTATGCTTAAACATGTAATGTTCTATTAATAATGTGATAGAAATACCCATTGTATTTTATTTAATCATAATTACTTCTCAAGTAAAGTATATTAATTTTTAGTGTCATTATAATCTAAGATTATTTACACTCAATATGAAATGTGATTCATACATATAGATATTTCAACACACTTCCTAATTAGAGGCCGAATTTAACAAGTATAATTATACTAGTAATACATATTTTTCTAATAAAATTAATTTTAGTATATACTAGATTGTTATAAAATAAAATACTCTGATTTAATACTATTGATTATATTAATTCTAAAATACATCTATATAAATATATATGTATAAATTATGAATACACAATGTAAATTAGTAGATAGATAAAAAATATTTCTTTTTAAAAATAAGTAAAATAAATTTTACTTTATTTATTTAATTTTAGTGATAAAAAAATATGGAAACATAATGAATATATTTATATTTATTCAAATATTATATTAATATACTTTTTTAATAGACAAAAATATACCTAAAATTATCTGAAACTGTATTTATTTGTTTTCTGTTATTATTTATATGATTAACAAATACATATTTTTATACAATTTTGTGCTGCATATTGAAATAATGCGCGTACACAGGAGCTAATGAATTTAAATACTCATTGCGCACGCTTGAAATCGATATACTTTATTTTCCTATTTTCTTTTCTTTAATATCTTAATATCTTCACCAACATAAGCTAATTTACAACATATTGTTTTTTATCAATAAATAAATAGAATTTTTCAAACACAAGCCATAAAGATCTTTTATTCGTTTTTGTTCAAAATAATATTTATGTAATCCGATATATATATACTACAATTGCCTTATATACTTATTAAATGCATTTAAAAATTATTTTATAGCGATTTATAATTTTCCCAAATTTGCCTTGAAAATAATTTGCAATATTTTATACAAAATTATACAAATTGAAAGGAATGCAAAATTGTGATAACGAAATAGAAATAAATGTGCTTCTTAAACTGTAGTCAATTTAAAATATGTGGAATGAAATAAATAAAATAAAGTTTCAAATTTTTAATTATGTTGAGGTAATTATATTTATGCTTTTATAAATATAATAGTTATATTTATACTTTTACTTTATTATTTTTCTATATTTTTTTTTAAATTAATTTAAATTAATGTTCATGAGGATGAAGAACAGGTTGCTAAATTTGAACAAATTATAGAAATGTTAGTGAATGCTGGCTATTATAGGGCAAGAATTCAAGGTTTATCAAATTTTGACAAGGTATTTAATTTTCTAATTCATCTTATATTCTGTATTAATTTTCTTTTTTATTAAGATTAGTTAATTTTTTATTTAAATATATGTAATTAAAACAAATGGATTTAACTTATTTTGAAAAATCTAAATCAAGAAATATTAAAAATAGTTTTTACATTTTTATATAAATAAAATCTAATATATTAATTTATTTTATTTTAAAGAAATATAAAATTTTAATTTTGCAAAAACAAAATTAAATATATTGATTAAATCATATTGAATAGTTTTTTATTTCTAATTGATATAATTTTCTTTTTAATATAGATTGTAGGAGGAATGACATGGTGCATCGAATCCTGTTATTTCGGTGTAGACATAGACCTACTTTTTCAAGAGAATCTTACAATTGGTCAAAAAATGTAATATTTTGCATGTATTAAGATTTTAATATATTAATTTATTTGAAATTTAATAGTATGTTAATTAACTTATGTTATATTTCAGAAATATTCTAATTTTTTAAAATAATGTATTAGATGTTCTGTATATAAATTATATTATTACTTGTATAATTTCATTATGTTTAATAATTAAGGGTTTTTTATTAATGTAAACAATGAGGTTTTAATTTAACATTTTTCAGTGCACTTACAGAAAAAATCGTTATAATGTTACCAAAAATGAACTGTCCAAACATTATAGAACCTCATCAAATTCAAGGATTAGACTATATACACATTTTTCCAGTTATGCAGGTTCAGTATATAATACCAATACCAATATTGTATTATATAATTTATTTTAAATGTTTATTTTATAATTAAACATGCATTGTTGCTTCATAGATTTTTTTTGTAAATAAAAAATAATTGGGTAAAATTATATATCTTATATCAAAAAGTCGTATATTTTAAAGTTTCTTATTTTAATGATATATTGATTCAAATTATTCATGCAAAATTTTTTTTTATAGATTACAAATAGTAAGAAGTTAAATAAATTCAAAGCTATTTCATTTTAATTTTAAATTAAAAATTATTTGAAGATAAAAATTGATCAATTGAGAAAATATATATAAAAAAGAAAGCTTTAATATCGAATTATATTTTTATATTAAAAGTATGATTTTATATTGATTGCTTAATTGATAAAAAAACTTTAATTATAAGAAATAACCTAAAATTAAAACGCATTTAAAATTTTGATGACTATTTATATGTAAAAGGAATAGTTCCGAACTTAGATTGGAGTATATATTTTAAGCATATATGAAATTTATATAACATGCTTTTATACTTCACAACTGTTAAGAAAATATTCATTCCTTATTTTTCAAAAGTTTACAGATACTTATTCTAATTTTCAGATATTTACATTATATACAAAATATTCAAATATATGAATATTTTTATAATACCTAGCTTGTTAAACTCTGTTACAGTTTACTTAAATAAGTAATAATATTTTAATAAAAAGTAAATGAAAATGTTTTGTGTGTAACTGTTTTTAATTAAAGAAATTGGATTTTTAAACTGCTACATTACAGTTTTTAACATACAAATTTAACATCAATTTTAAAAACTATAATCTCAAAAATTTAATTTTTTCTGAAAATAATTTTTTTAATTTTAATTATTTTTAACTATTTAATTTTATATCAGCATTTCTTCATAGTGAAAAATTATATTACATTGTTATTTACATTGTTTAACAGCCTTTTATGTATTTAGTGGTTAATACAAGAATCTATGAAAACACGTAAAGAAATGGCAAAATATGTACAATTGTTTGCAATTACTCAATTTAATAAAAAGTTTACATTGAAAGAAAACTTTATACTAAATGATAAATTATACGGTGAATATTTAACTAGCAATATAAAATTAATCAAGGTAATTTAATTTTTTATTTCTTAGGTTTTCTTCACTAAATGTAATTTTTATTTAAATTTTAGGAAACATATCAACCATATCGTCAATTCAAACAAAAAGATACAAAATTAGTGGATGAATTTGCTATAATTAGTAATGTATTGTTAGAATATGGTGAAACATTGCAAATCTCACAAAGTATCATTAATAAATTTCATGAAAGTAAAATAAATCATTTTATACAGGATAAAGAAATTACAAAAGCAATAATTGAAAGAAAAATGCAAGAAAAAGTATTTAGAACTATATTTCTTATTTTATTTATCTTATTTACTATATATATATATAGATTATATTTAATAATTTTTAGATAAAAGTAGAAGAACTTAAAAAAAATTTATCAAAATTTGATGATAAGAATAAGGTAAAATGATTACATTTTGTTCTTAAATATAAGAAATAATTATTTTACTCTATTATTGTAGAGTTGTGTAAGTTCTAATATTGTTGGAAAAATTGTTGATATTCAAGCCCAAGAAGTAGCTAAAGTAGTAGAGCAATATTCAACATCATTAGCTTCTGGCTCTGAGGTATAAAATGAATATAATGTGATTATGATCGATAAAAAAAAAATGTTTAATTTTTAAACTTTTTAATTACAGGTCAAATTATCACCTTTTACATGTATCTTAAGCATATTAGAAAAAGAAAAATTCATTTTAAAAAATAAAAGTCGAAACATGTCTAAAATTAGAGGCGAGTTTAATTATAGATTAATTGAAATGGTAGAATTATTAAAATATACTCAAAAAACAAAACAAACAATAAATAAAGCACATAATAGAACTAATAATATCGAATTCAGTGGAAATAATGGGTATGAATAAATTATTATATTATGTAGAAATCTGTGTTATAATATTAAAATTAGGTTCATTTTATTTGAAGTTACATAACATACATGGTATATAAAAGATTATTCTTAAAAATATCTTAGTTTATTGTTATAGAAATTAGTTTTTGTTTTTTTTTATTATTTAATTTTAATATAAAAATGAATTTCAACATTTAATAATGAAACTTAATCACAATAATTAAAAAATTAATATTTATAATTTAGAAATAGATTTGTATCTAATAAAAAATTTTCTATATATTATCATTAGTATACTATATTCAGTAGATACTTAATTTATTGAATCATTTAGAAAAAAATTTGTTTAATTTATTATATATTTGAGCAAAATAATTAGTATTTATAAAATTAAGTCAAACATTTCCTTTTTAGTTAAAGTGTAATCATAGATTGTTAGATGTTGATAAATATTAGCTACTTTTTGTTACTAATCAATTTTAATTTTGATTATTATAATTTCACAAGTTTTAACGATAATAGTAACGAATTGCACAGTTTTTTTAATATTTTCTGTATTAGAATAAAATGTTTTACACATATTTATTTATTTATTGCATACATATTCATATGAATTAATTGTTAACTAGTCCAGTATTTATTTATTTAATCAGACTTTACATTTAGGGATCACTAATTTACCTTACATATTTTATTAGAAATAATCTCTTGTACATTATGTTATTACAATCTACGGTACTTTAAAACGTGTAGAATATCTGACTTTTAGTCTATATATATATATAGTCAAAAAATATAAATTACAATTTATAACAAAATAAAGTTAGACTAAAATCTGAAATCTTTTTTGATATTTAACAAATAATTTAAAACATAAACATATACGAATTTAATATGATAGAATATTTATAAAATAAATGTTACAGGCTTATTAATTTATAATTTCATAATCATAACAGAAAATTATTCGCATAGAAGGTACTCTTACATTTAGGATTTTCACACAACTAATTTTTTTTCATTTATTTATTTGTATGCTACCAGTTGCAATATCATTGGTTACTATTAAAATATATTTATACATTTCTTATTTTTAAATTATTGCAATAAGGTAATCGTTTAAACAATGTTATTCATAGTAAATAATCTTATACTAGGCTAATAAACAAATTTTTAGTAGTGTTAATAAAAGTTAGCCAATTTGTTTTTACTTTTAGTTAATATAATAATAAATGTAAAGATTATATCAGTTATGTGGACAATTAATTATTAATGTGTTTCTAAACCAATTACAATCCCTTTATTTGTTTATGGTACTAAAGAAACAATTTAGTACTATGAAGCATAAAATTCTAATTAAACAGTATTTCAAATGTTTACCTGCCAAGGTACATTTTGCAGTTCTTTATTATCTGCATCTTCAAATATATGTGCCTCACCAACATGTTGTAGAATCAATTGTTAAAATGACAATAATTTAGAAATGATAATTTTTGAAAATAGTCATTTTGGTAAAATTTTATTGAATGATTTATTATTACAATTAATAGATAAAAAAATCATTCGTTTCAATCGTAAATTTACCATTATTCCGTACAAATATTATTTTTCTTAAGTGACATAGATCGTTTAATATTATGTTACATCATTTATAAACATATTAATAAGAAGAATAAAAAAATGTTTTATTAAAAATTAGATTAAAATACTTCATTGATTAAATTTGTATAAGCTAAAATATATTATAAGCTTTTAATTACGATTACGTTGATGTAAATGACAACTGAATAATTTTCATTCATCTTCAAATCATAATAAATTCTTAATTCATTGATTAGTTTTGTTATTAGATATGTTACCATTAATGCATTTTTTTAATATAAATTCTAGAGGTTTATAAAAATTTATTAAAACTTTATATAAAATATTACATACAAATCCTATTATTGTATTAAATATAAAACTTATAGTAAAGTTTTATTAGTCGTTTGTTTATTCTTATCTTATTTTATTTGTCTGGTTTTGTACTGTTTTCTGTAATTATATTATTTTATTCCTTAAATTAATGTTGATTAAAAATAAAAACTTTAATTATAATTCTTATATTATTATACTGCAAATAACAAATAATTTTTAAAAGTAATTATTAAAAATATGTGGTTTTCTATATTTTCTAACTTCTATTTTTCTATAATTTTAAAAAATTGCCTGATATTGAATTAATTGATTCCAACAAGATTTTAATTGATATAATGAATACGTATTTTAAATATAGAACTAAAAAGTTGTAGAATTTGTATTATATTTATGTTTATAATTTTTATCTGGAATATATTAATTTATACATACAAATAATTTATTTTAGAATATTACAAAAGCTGAAAGAACTTATTATTGTACTTAATGGTTTAAAAGGCCACGAAAAAATGTTTCGAGATCAATGTAAACTAGATTTAAATAAATTTAATAATATTATAAAAGCATTAAAAGATCAAAAGTTTAATGAAGAAATAGATAATGTAGCCGAATATGAAAATCAAAGAAAAAAAATACATTTATTAAGATTACAACTCGCCAAAAAAAATAGAGCTATCGTAACTTATATGAGACAATTGGATGATATTCCAGAAAGATTTGAGCTTACCCAATATCAGCGACGATTTATGGAATTGTATAATCAAGGTATGCACATTATATTTTTTATTAACAAAATGAACTTGTTTTATTTTTAGAAACATAATTAAGTTTTATTGTATTTTAGTTTCAATTAAACATAAAGAAACAAAACAATATTATACATTATATAATACATTGGATGATAAAAAATTATATTTAAGTAAAGAATTGTCACTTCTTAATTCCATTCAAGATAATTATAACGAGTAAGTATATTTTAATGAATACATATTTCAATATTGCCAAACAATTAATGGATTTATAAAACAGAGCAATGACTTCAAGTAATACAAGAGAACAATTTATAAAACAGTTTGAATACATAATTGACGGTGTGCAGAGAAATAAAATAAAGGTATTATGAAGTACATTTAAGAACAAAATAATTAATAATTATTTTTATAGTAAATTATTTATATAAATTTCTATAAATGGCAGATACAAAAACGTTGTACAGATGAAAAAAATCGACGAGATGTATTAAGTCTCGCCCTTGTTAATTTTATAGATCAACATCGTAAATACGTTTCTGCAGTTAGGCAGCTAACAATTGAATGTCGTAAAAATGAAATGTTATTGATCCAACTTCGGGGACTATGAATTTGATTTCGTTAAAGTTCTACTTTTATATAATTTAATTGCTCTAAAATTAAGAATAATATTAACATATATTTCTAATAATTATATTACTATTAAATTTTGTAATATATTTTGCCTAAATATAGTGGTGCAAAGGAATTAAAGATTTCTTAGATTATTTCCAGATAATGAAGAGTGCAATAAAATGTGTTACTAGAAGTTTCATTTAAAATATATATTAACTAGAGATATAGTAATACAAGTTTCTGAAAGATATTTAAAAATAATTAAAATTTTTTAAAAAATTCCAAAATAAGATATCTTGGTAGATATAAGAAGGTAAAACATAAAAGTAACAAAAATTTGTATAAAAGGATGATATGCATAAATTAGCAATTCTTCTAATTTTAATATTTCTTTTTTCCATTGTTATTCGTATAAATTAGAAATTATCCAACAACATAAATGAATGTTATAAAAAATAGCTATAGTTAAGAAATATGTAAATAAAAATAAAATTTGGAAATTTATTGAAGCTTATAAAAATTGTGATATTTATAAATATTTTTTTTGATAAATATTGTTTCAAAGACAGGTTTAAAGGTTTGTATATTGCTTAAATATTAAAGAGACCAAATGTACATAGATAATTTCAGTTAAATAATCATTACTTCCAAAAGAATATTTGACTCTTAAAGGTAAAAGAACAGAATATATACAATTTTCATCAATTCAAAGTATCCAATAACCTACAAATATAAGAAACTATATAAATCACTATATACAGAGTTTGAAAAAGTTTGAATCAACCATAAAATTTGTATAAAAAGATTTTAAAAGTTATTTGATTGGCTAAATTAAGGAATTAAGCAAAAATTTTAATTGCATATTTAATAAAAACATGATTTATTAAATAGTATTATTTTAAAGGAAGTAAACCAATTAGCATTTTATTGGAGTCAAGTATGAAACAATGAATGAAATAAAATTTATCTCAATTTAATTGAATATTAAACTAAATTTTAAGTAAAAATACATAAATATTCTTAATAGATGAGAAGACCCTACCAAATTTTATAATTGATACTTATCCTGATGATTAATTTTTTATGTTAAAAATTAAATTATTTAATTTGGGATCATTTATTAATAAAATTATCTTGGGGATAACAACAACAAAATTTTTGGAGATATTAATATAAAATTTGCATCTTCGATATTAAATTAAGTTAAGTAGCTGCTATAATGATTAATTAAATTAAATCTTTGATTTTTAATAACTTAGTTTATATCAAACAATCGAATAAACAAAATCATACCTTTAAATAATTTTGTATACAAGGACTTGCTTTTTTACAATTGTAATTGTTATTAAATATAAATTAATAAAAATTATTATTTTGGCATAAAAATGTATTAAATCTAGAATTTAAGGATAAATATTTACTACTGAAATAAATACTGAAAATAATATTTTCAGTAATAATTTAAAAAATTAATTTTATTTTAATGTTATTTATTGAATTAATAATTTTGGCATTAATTATTAACTCATGTACAATTACAAAAAGTTTCAAAACATTCGTTAATAGAATTAAATCATTTTCAAAAAAAATTTATATTAAAATTTGTTAACTATGTGTTTAAAATCGATTTATTGGTAGAAAATTTAAGATTAACTTGATATGCTTAATGGAAAATCATTTAAGAAAGTGAAAATAATATTTTTCAAAATTATACAAGAGTACACAATATGTTTGTTAAATATAAATGACCCAATTTATGGCTATTACCGTCTAATTGTTCTATATAAAATCTAATAATTACTGCAATCATTAGGTATTACAAACACTTTAAAGATAATGTACTCCATAGATGACTTAGAATGTTTATTAAATTTGGATGTAATGGTTAATAGACTAACGAATATTTATTTTAAATAAAATAAGCATGTAAATAAGTTTCCATTTTTCTTTTTCTTAAATTGAATAATTGTATTAAGTATTTTAAATGCCATTAGATGAAGTAATTTTATTTATTTACTATTACGTAAAATAATTTTTGACGGTTTACATTATTTTATATATATATATATATATATATATATATTTAAAATATAATATATTTTAAAAAGTTTTTAATTTTGTGATTAAAGATGTAATAAAGCATCATTTCTGAAAAGTTTATTATATACAAACAATAATTGTGATTAAGAAAAAAGTTTGCAAACAATTGTTAAAATTCTGAAAATATTACTACTGTCTTGTCTCTTATATTTTTTAATTGAAAATATTTACTTTAAATATTCTATTCATATTTACATAAAAGAAGCTTTATTTCTGTTCTTCCCTTCGTAAATTTATGGATAAAACAAGTATACCACTGAAGGCATAGTGAACCACTTCAATAATAAGCTGTCGAGACTGCGCACAATATAAGAGTAAAAGGAAGTAAAATAAGTTGATTCCAATAATACCGAGCAGCACCGAACAATCGCGAATATGTACGAATAAACCAGTAATGAAAAGAAATAGATTATTTGCAAGATAGAAATAATTTTAATTAAATTTGGAAAATCGATAAAGTAGCTAGTACTTAGCTTAGATATCTAAATTTTATTATTGTTTATATAAGAAGTTGAATTAATGTAATTCTTTATATTCAAATTTGTTCGTAAGTCACGAAACAATCACTTAGGGTATGTCTAGTAGGTATTATCTTAATTTAAAACCATCTGCAGCTTCATTCATAAAATTTTATGTTCGAATGTGGTACTTAAGTCAGTTGATTGTTCTTTTTTATAGTTAACAGTGATTTTTTTCAATCATTATACTTTTATACATCTTTGGTGTAGCAAAAAGTGTAACACGCACTTCATTTAATTGCATCGATAAAGATTGAATGACTTTCTCAACATGAACAATTACTTGTAAATTTCGTAGGAATAAAAAAAAAGTACAAATTTTAAGTCTTGTTAAAATTGACTACAAACCTAAAATCATCCATGCATGGTTAGCCATAGTGTGTAGTGTATTTAATATAGTAAACGAATAACTATGAAGAGCATAAAGGAACAATATCAGAGTAATTTATTAATGCAATTGGTAAAGGTAGCTGTACTAACAGTTGCACTTAGCCATGTTATAGTATTAATAAAAGCAAACAGGCCTGTAGGTAGTCATCCAGGACATGTTTATTTCGAACAGCCTTGCTGTGGAAGAGCACATCTTAGACATCACAAAGGTTAGGTTCTTTTGTCTTTCTTATACATAAATGTGAGTCGCAAAAAAGAAAACAGAAACTATTTTATATTCTTTTCATTACTCTATTTCTGTATTTTTTTATTAATTTTTAATTATATATATATATATATATATATATATATATATATACCTATATACATCTTAGATATTCTCTAGTTTAAGTTATTTTGTAAAAAAATCAAACAATGATTAATACTTTATAAGATATTTGATTATTTTCAAAGAAAAATATTAATTGTGTAATTATTTTTTATTATTATTTAAAATATTTAGGTTCATACTAAATGATTGTAAAATATAGCTTCAATGATTGAAAGATAAGTTTACTCTGATAAAGTCAAAATAGTAGATTCTTTTTTTTAAGAAGTTTATAATGTAAAATTAAATTAATATTATTCACCAAAAATATTTCAATATATACATTTTTTATCCTGAATTTAATGTTAAAAATATTAATATTTTACTTTTATATTTGCTTTATCATTTTATATAATTATATTCACATATATTTAAAGATATTAATTCTTGCTGTGAAATATATATTAATGATATATTTACTAATACTATAATTAACGTATCATATAAAAAGGTTTTACATAGTTTTATTTATAGTGTGTTATTATGGTATATATGTAGAATGAAATTATTCAATAATATTGTATATATATATTAAATATATATCTATATGGAATATTACTATCTGCTTACTTTTTATTAGTTCATGAAAATACTTCGGTTGATCATTTATATAATTAATTATATTTAAACTGAATTTAAATTATATTAAATTTTTTTTAATTTTTAAATTTATATTCTATATATTGTCTATTGATGTTTTACTTCTATTCTTTCTATTAATAAAATTTGTTGTCTTGATTAATAAAAAAAATTGTATAAATTATTTTATACAATATTAATTAAAAATTCACTAACCTAACATTGTTAACTTTTTTCTAAAAATTTAACTATATGATAACTGTTTTTACATACATGTACGTTTTACAAAGATCAGTAATAAATATTGATCTTTTTAAACTTGTATTGATTCTAGAAGAATTAAGTGAAAAAATATTCTTATCAACATAATTGCCTTTACACCGTTTTATTTTACATAATACTCACAGTTTTTACCTGCATATTAAAAATATATTAAAAATTATTGATTTACTTATTTTTTCAGTTTTATAAAGTATTATACTTCTATTATATAACGAAATGGTATTTATCTATAACATTATGCTTTTGTTCTGCTTATGAAAAAGCTTGTGCTAACAGTTTTACCGCAATATTATTAATGCAGTGAAGACTTAACATTTAAATAATATAAATTGAACACATATATTAAGTATAGTCTAAATAGTTTTTTTTTATAAATTATAGCTTCATACACACATACACACACAGAGAGACATATATATATATATATATATATATATATATGGCTCTGTGTATATGTTTATATATAAAGATAATAATTAGTCTATTTTATTATATATGCAATAGGAGTTTAAACTTAATAATTAATAATACATAGTTTATTTTAAAAAGTTTATGAAATTTAATGCATCTCAAGGCATTAATAATATAATATCATGTAACTTATAAAAAACAAATATATCAAACTATTGTGCAGTAGATTCTGAATGAAAATTAATAATTTTTAAAGTGAAGAGAGGCTCTAACAAGAGCAATCATATGAATATTGTGTTTCCTCTAAGTTAAAAGATTTGATAGATTCATTATTCCTTTATTATTATATACATTAAAGACAATAAAAATATAAAAAAAAAGGTGAATTGTACTTACCAGTAAAGCTATAATATATTGCTTATGCAATAGTTTGATATTATTAATTTGTACAATTGTAAAATAATAAGAATAGTTTCATTTCAAATTTTAATTTGGTAATAGTAACTATGATTTTATGAAAATAAAAACGGAATATTTTCATTTGAATATTATATTATAAATTAATATACATCAATATAGAATAAAGAGCTCATAAATTAATTAAATTGTCTCTTAAAATGTAACTAATTAACTGATACCAGAGTGTTATACATTGCGTTGTACATCATGCTTTATTTGGAGATTCTGGAAATCAACATCGAAATGTGAGCAATGAGAAAATTGTACTTTAAAAAATAGTATAAATTAGATTATTATGGAGGTGTGTGCAAATGAAATTGTGGTAACCAATGAACTGCATAATTTAATTATTAAAAATGCAATTTTATGGTTTTGGTTACTTATTATAAATAATTATATTTGCAAAGCAGGTTGAAATACTCACATTAATAAGTGTTGAGTAAATCTAAAGTTTAAAAATACTTTTTTTCTTAAAAGTACTGCTGCTTTTTATGGTGTTTTAGCGATTTATTAATCATATAAATAGTAATTTCACTTTAATTATCACTTTTCTGTTATTTATTTATATTTTGTATTTTTACTGGATAATTAATGTATACGTTTAAACCATAAAAATGCATTATATTGGATTAAATCGTACGAAATCTAGAAGATTAAATAAATTAAATTCTTAATATATTGCATACAATATACAACCACCCCTTTTTAAATTGAATGGTTATATATTTTAAAATTGTTCTAAAATTTAGTATACTACCCAAAATTTACCTACATAATTTTGACTAGATTTGATTTGATTATTTGACTTTTTGACTTTGACTTTGATTATTGACAATTAATTTGACTCTTATTTAATAATAAATTGAATATACGGAATCGGAATTTCTTTTACGAATACGATTTTTTATGGCTTCGCTCTTATTTAGTTTTCATAATTTTACGTATAAAAATTTTGCTAAAAATTAATATAATATCGTTCTGAATTGGAGCATTTTTCCGAAACCTTCGCGTTCGGGATTAAAGCAGCTTAAGCAGAATATAAAATTGGGAAAAGTACAACTCCCGGACGCTCATATTTGTAAACACGATTCAACGAATCCGGGAATTTTCATACGCCTTAAATTCAAATATATGACAATATTTCCACGTAGCAACGCCGATGAAACTTCAAGAACCTTCCAAGGCTATGTTCTTTGACGCTTCTAGAACGTTCCAGAGCTTCGTTTTCTGACGTCACGACGATTTTTGGCATAGCAACAGGCATCGGCGTTGTTTCCGGCGTCGCAAGCTTCCACGCGAATATTTAAGAGCAGCGCGCCACGCACCGTGGCACTGTTCTTTTAACCTGGCTCACGGTGTTTTTACTATCTACTCAGTTAACAGTTATGGCTCACTGTAATTCTACACCTCGATCACTCATCCATTGTTATTAATTAGTTCATTTTCAAATCCATCTAGTATCAGTTTAACCTGCGACTACAAATTTTAGCCGCATATCAGTCAATCGGTCAAAAAAACATACGTGCGTTATTATAAGAAGCTGTTATTACAGGATAGCATTTTAACAGTGAAGCCATTAGAATTGTAATCAATAAGGAGTGCCAACCAAAGCCATTCAGCATGCACTCTTGGTAGTTCATAAGGCACATCCCTTTATAATTTGTACAAGCTAGTCATCCACGTTCGAATCACATCACGTGTAAGGCTTACTAAAGTGACAAATACGCTCTGTCAAGCCGAGCAGGGCTGAGACCGTACTTCACCTTCTACAGGTAATTACATTGTTGAGGCTAGAATTCAGCCGATCAAGGTTGGTGACAAGTCCTTCAGTCCTTGAAGGAACTGTTTATAATTTAATCTTCTTGCGTGTGACTAACACTGTAATATTCCCATTCTCCCATTGGAGTATGGTCGATTTACGTAACCTGTTCGATTTTAAAGGTTAAGTTTAGTTCAGTGGATTAGTCTCTCGTCAGAATAACTTTAAAGGAAACAATAAGTGAAAGAGCTGAAAAATATTATGTATAATGTATTTTTAGTAAAAACAATGTTTATTATTTGTTAATAATTATAATAATATTGCAATGTTGTGAAGAGAGAAGATTATTCTATTGAAGTAGTGAGGGTTTTTCCTTGTGTTCTTGATCGTTGTACATGCTATTGAAATTATTGTGTAACTTGAGAATTGAGGTTATGCTGATGTTGTAAAAATCAGCAGGTGTAGTCAATCATGCTCATGAGGTAGCATGAGAAGATGGTGTTTGAATCAAGTATGTTTGATGTATGAATAACTATACTTGATATGGTGTAAGATGTTTACTGGAATTTAGTGAGTAATCAATTGTGTCTTTAATTATTTATGGGGGAAGTAGAAAAGTCTAGTCATAGGTAAGAGTCATTAATGATAAGCCTTCGAGCTTTTGAAGGACTTAATGATATGTATTAATAGTCGATTAGTCGATCTATTGTTGTCCTTCCTTGACAACGTGCTTAACGCATAGCGACACTTGTATCGGCTGTTGAGGGCCTGTACGGTTTCGAAGTGTTAGTTCGAGAGAGCGTAAGTTTGCCCGATCGACTTGTGCGAGGTGTGACTAGCTTATTTATGAATATAAAAAGATGTACTTTGTAAACTGATGACAAGGTGTGTTGTTTTACTGCGAGGCTGATGTCCCCTTTGATTACTATTCCAACTGGCTTCACTGTAACTCACTTCCAAATCTGCCGATTTCCTTTTATTGATGCACACGTGTATTATTATCTAGACTGCCGAATATATGGCCACGTGTCGTCTTCACAGTATACTAAAACACTGAGCGGCAATTGCACTTAAGTGAGCGCGAAGTAACATTACAATGAGCGTATGAGCCTTTTGAATACGCGCACGAACCGAAGGCTTGATCGTTCCGTGGCGGTTCTGCTGAAAATACCGACCGATCCATGGCGGTCCTGCTGAGGGCAGATCGAGACTCGTGTGCCATGGCTTCTACTTGTAGATGGTTAGATCGGTTCACTATAGTCGGTCACTGCGGTCGGATCACGGCATGATATTAGCCGCAAGCGCAGTTGAGCGAGGATGGTTCGGCAAGAGATGATTAGCAAGAGAGCCGGTCAGCAAGCAAGAGGCTGTCAGCAAAAGAGCGAGACGCGCCGCGTGCTTGCCTTATATATCCACGCAGTGGTTCACTTAGCTGGCAACAAAGCATCGTCGTTGTAGCACTAATTCTTACACGAGGCGCAGAAAGAAAAATCTAGAGCCTTCGAGAATTCGACGAAAAAAAAGTAGGGCGTAATACCTTTATATTATAGTATATTAGATTTCATGTCAAAACTTGCTCCGACTAGCTGAGTTTTGTTTATAAACATTTGCCCGAGTGCGCGTCCCGGTCCGAGGGCGCGTACCGTGCGTCGTACAGCGCGTATGACCCACTTTTTCTTAAATTCGTAGAAACTACGTCAATCTCGAACATAAGCACTACCGCAAAGAATACCGTGTTCTTTCCTATTAAGTATGCTTACTATCTCTACGAAGCCTTATTGATTACCATTATCATCACCATCGCCATCCTCTGCTGATCGGATCGCTCCTCGCTGATCCTCTCAAGATCCATAGTAATTTCCATAGCATCAACAACAATCAAGGACACAAGGAAGCACTCTCACTACTGCAATAGAATACCTCTCTCTCTATGTATGTATCTATCTATCTATCAATTACATGAAGCAACCAACAAAACTTCAATATTATTATAATTCATAAACCAGAATAAAACAATATCTTCACTCAAAATACATATTACATAATATTTTTCAACCCTTCCACTTGTGCCTTTTTCCTCCTAATCGCTATGGCGAGAGACTAATCCACTGAACTATTCAATTGGCAGTTCGAGCCATAAAACAAACACTCAATTTCGAACACTTCGATTCTCGAAAATTTTATAAGCCTTCTAGTCCTCGAATTTTGTAAACATTTAGAATTCTTGAATTGCCTAAAGCTTAGATTCTCGAACGTCCTACAAGGCTGCTTAGCCTTCACATAGCAACGTCGATTGAATTCTCGAATCTTTCAAAACTTCGCTTTCGCAGAATTTTCTAATAGTTCAAAGCTTGGATTCTCGAACATTCTGCAGGCCTGCGTAGTCTTCACATTGCAACACTTAAGCATCGATGCCAGCTAGCTTAGCTACCGCGTGGATAACTAAGAAAACGCGCACCAAGACGCCAGTCAATTATTCCTTCGAGTCAGTTACTCGTCCTAGCTAGTCATCTACGCTTCGGCCACGCTATTAAGCCGGAGTCTACAGCAGAGAGCTCGTCACACGATCACACTCTCACTGCAGCAATGAACACACGTTCAATTCTCCAGTGTGCACCGGTCAACCTGTCAAGGGTGCTGACTGCAGTACAAGGAAATAGTCGACTACAAGAAGCATGGTATCAAAGTATTCTTTAACACGAAGGTATACCAGTAGTCTCTATTGAGCGTAACCATCAACCAAATTCCATGCTCCTCTAATGAGTATGGTTGGCCCTCCCTGCTAATCGTTGCAACAGTAACATAGATCACTAAATAATTCCATACTCCCTTCATGAGTATGGTCGGCTCGCCCTGCTAACCTTTACAACGTTAGCATAGACCACAAAACCAAGCTATATTCCTTTTCAAGAAGTATACACAATCCATTGCTGATCCCTATAACATCATCTACGACATCATCACCAGCACCAAGGAGCAACTATATCGTTGTAATAGAACATAGTACACACTCTCCCATGAGAAGTGAATTCAGAACAACAATAGTGTAATTGTCAATAAAACCAAAAGAAACAATGTTTTAACGAAGTTTGCACACACTGTACATCTTTACAGCCCCTCCACTTAAGTCCTTTCTTAAGTATCGCTAAGGCTAGCGACAAATAAACTTAACTATCGAACTTGGCAGTTCGAGCCAGAAAATTAAATACGTTTCAACATTTATTCCTTTGAGTCGGATCAGTGAAATTCCACATTTGGTACTTCGAAGATCAGTGCAATTTTCGAACAAATATTTATCGATTATATCGCGTAATTTAATTTAAAAATACGTATTAAAAAAAAAATTAATATAATTCTGTAAATGATATTTTCATACAGTGTTAAACTACTATATTCGAAGTGACTAACAACTACTGTAAACTACATTACGTACGATATACTTTTATATTAGATGTGCCATACACGTTTATACATAAAGAAAAATTTTAAAGTAAATAATAAATGAGGAATAGTTTTATAAAGCTTAAAATTATTATATATAGATTTTTTCATTATGTGTGTTAAAAATAAGTATAATTAATGAAAAATTTCTTTAATACAGTCATTTATTTCTATAAAGAAATTTATTTATGATGAAATATAGTATATATTTTATTTTCATGAAAAGTTATTTTAAACAAAAAATAAAAAATACAGACTAGTAAGAATTAAAACATTTTATCAAATTCATTTCTTATTTTTTTTTTTAATTTTATTAGATTATTATTTTTATGTATTCACAAATATAAATATAAATAAATTGTGTTATACCATATTTGTATCGAATAAGTTTATTAATCTTATAAAAAAGTATCAATTTAAATTTAGCAGTAGAAAAGATAATGAATAATTTTACTGCACATAAAAATAATAAAGCATCTAATTGAGCACATCGTGACTTATTGGAATTAATGCGATATAACTGGAGCGAATATACTTATACTAAAATATTTTGAAAGAGTCAAAGAAAAAAGAAACATATATAATAGTTATGGGAATATTGAAAGTATAAGTAGGGAAATAGACATAACTTAAAGAACAAAACATACGTTTAGGTTCTTGCATGCTTGCATACATATCTTAGGCAATATAATAAACATATTGTACCAATAGTAAGATTTATTTTACAAATTGTTAATTTGATATTTTTTATTTTTAGAGCACGTTCGCGAATTCAATTGTGGAATGCTTTACTACAGAACTCTTTACCTAGATAACAAGAGAGACGTCTTATATGTTGGAGCAATGTAAATATATTCTGTTTACTTATAAATATACTTTCCCCTCGGTTATTTCTTATTGTTTTTTTCTATTCCTATATAATATATATATATATATATAAGTCACTCATTTTATTTACAATAACAATACATTCTTCAGATAATTTCATAAATATATTTGCAAGTACTTTATATCTAATGAAAGTAAATTTAGAAATAAATTTTTATTTGTAGTTTAAATGATTTATTTAACATGTTAAATAAAATTAAAATTTGTATCAGATAATTGTATGATTAATAATCATTGTATCAAATTAGTGTTTATTATTATTATATCGCTTATATGAGTATCGAAAAACAATCGATATATAGGATATATAGTTATTGCATATATCTGAACTGTTAACTTATACAATTTCGAATAGAAAATTATTAAAAAAATATTTGTTCGCAACGGTCGAGACCTCTATGCTGGTTTTCATAAGTTAAGATCTATTGCCATTCTGAATGATCTATAAGAAAATACAATAACCTCTGTAAGTTAAGATATCAAAGATATCGAATTCGTATATTACAAATGAATTCGAAACATATCAGACTATTTAATAAACACAATCTTAGCGATCCAATAAATATGATTAATATCTATTTGTAACAGCGTATTCAAAGTACGTGTTGTTATTGTAATTATCTATAATGATTTATATGTTATTATATTTATGAAAATTTGTCATATAAATACTAATTATTAGGGCATTACCATTTATCTCATGTATAATACATTAGATAACGTGATAATCTAAATATATATGCGATTATCACCTTTGAAGCAATCATAAGAGTGTTTCAATTTATAATAAAATATTGTTATTTAAATCTATATATATATTTCATAATTTCAATTTTAACAAATTTTTTAAAATTTCGTAGCGATACAACTTTATAATAATAATATTTATTTATAATAATACATAAGTGCTAAAAAATGTTTGAATAATTTTTATTTAATGCTCTTATAGTAAATTATTTTGATTTAATTATACATAATTATACAATGCTTCAATAAAAATCATTTTATCCTGTGTTACTTAGATGCATATTTTTTAAATACTATTTATGCTGGGTATTTAGAGATACACATTTTTTAATATTAACATAAAACTAATTATTACTGGTTTTCATTAAAATATTAAAAAATATACAAGTATATTATAATCAATACTTATAAAAACACAAAATCATTTATATTTATGTAAAATAATGATAAAAAATAATGCATCGGAAATTTATTTTATCTAATCTAAGTATTAATTAATAAAATATTTCATAATAAACAATCATTTTTGTTGCAGGGATAAAATTTTTAAGTTGAATTTGAGTAATATTAGCTACTCCAGTTGTGAGGTAAGTACATAATTTTTTCGAATGAATATGAATAAATTATTTGATTCTAATACTCTTTTACACAATTTATTTCAAAAACTGAAATTATAAATAATAATTTAAAAACTAAAAATATTTAAAAAATACAAAATTGAAATTTTTTATCAAATTCATTTTAAAATAATAAAAAGTATTATGAATGATTTGTAATCTTATAACAAATTATATACAATAAAAAAATTATGTATCAAAAATATGAAACTTACCATCATCTGACATTGGAAAATATGTACATTGTTGTTTTTTATACAGTGACCTATATAGTAATATTTGATAAAATCAATAAAAAAATATTTATTGCATTAAAAACTCTTTTGTAACATACTATATGAAGTTATATTATTTCATGCTTATAAATATTACTACTAATGCATTGTATCATACTTTTTACTTATCATCTATTTTCTGGCATTTAACCGTTGTAGATAAAATGTAAAACAATTGTAATTCACAATCATATTGTAGAAATGCTAAGGAAACTCAATTAAACATCATAATTTTCAAATATTAATCTTCATTGAGAAAGTTTATAATTGGAATATAATCTCAATAAGACAATTTTTATTTAATTTGATATTAAAATATTAACGTAAAGTATTTAAAGTACCCGTATCAAATGCTTTGTTAGTTGAATACTGTAATATTGCTATATATAATAATAATAATTGACTATGGTAATGCATAAAATGTAAATTTTAATTGTACTATATTAAATTATTAAATTGTCTCTTTCTATATTTTTTAATACATGCTCAAGATTTTTATGTAAATTACATTTTTTATAATTATTCATGTTATTGATTGTTTATATTTAAATGTCTCAAATTTTTAAAATGTCAATTTAAACAAATATTTTATAACAAAAGTACACTATTTATTTGATTGACTTTATTAAAGCATATTTTTATATTTATTATAAGTTTTACATTAATATTGACTAATGTATTATTTTTATTCTTATTTAGTGTCTTATTGGGTCACATAATAGCAAAATATTAACTCACCTCTTTTGAAAATTCAAATTTCATTTAAAAATCTTTGTTCAATTCCTTCCATAATAATAAATTAGGTGGTTTCCTGTTGTTCAGATATTTCGAATTTATTATACATAATGATTGATTATTAAACTTCTTAAAAACCTTTAATACTTGAAAATCTTATAATTTTATAAATAAATTTATAAAAAAATAAATGGAATTTACTAATGACCTTATCTTCAAAACGATATATTTATATAAATATATTTTTAAGGTTTACCAGTTTTAAAATCTTCATTATGAATATATACTTTTACGTTCTTTATAATTTTGCTTTGAATTGTTAAAAACAATATAGTTTCATCAATGATGGATTTTAATAAATTTAAAGTAGTATCATAATTTTGTAAAACTTAATACATTACCGCAAACGCCATAAAAATTTTAAAATATCCTAAAAGTATTAATTGAGATTGACATATTGAATAAAATAATTAATACATAACTTGTAAATAAAAAATGCGTGTTTGTTGCAGAGAAATACAAATAGTAGCGCTTTGATTTGATCATGACGCTCCTTTACAATTATAAACATAAATTAAAAATTTCTGAATATAATCAGAATTTTCATACTTTTACCACAAACATTTTTATCATATTATCTTTTTTCTTATTTTTTCAAATTTATTTCATATTACACTGTAATTCTTCATTTTATTTTTATACAATATACTCGAAATAAAATTAAAATAAGAATAAAAATACAAAAAGTATTGGATAAATTGAATAAAATATCTTCTTTTACTCATTTTAGTAATTTATTGATTTTTTTTACTTGTGAATTAAATTAGGAATTAAATTAAAAATTTGTCATATATATATATGAATATAATATATGAATTTAATGGCTTTAAAATACAAGATACAATGATTTTTCCCTTTTTTTTATTCAGAAAGATGCTCTTAATTTGGAACCGAGCAATATAGCTAATTGTGTATCAAAAGGCAAATCAGATGTAAGTATAATTTTATTCAATGTTTAATAGATGATTAAAAAGATTTAAAATTAAATTAATATCTCACATTTCTTTTTCTAATTTGATTTACATATTAAATCTTCTTCATTTAATATAAGATATATATATTTCAAATATTATTAATAAAAAAAAATTTATTACTGTATTATTTTTTAGCACTTTGACTGTCGAAATCATATTAGAGTGATACAACCAATGGAGGATGGCAATCGATTATATGTGTGTGGTACAAACGCCCATTCTCCAAAAGATTGGGTCATATATGTAAGTAATAAATTTATCTTGTATTGAACGTCTTTCTTAGAAGATATAAAATTTATTTGACTAATATAATTATTTAAATAGTATTTCGGTTTTTTCTCTATTTGTTCCATATTTCATAATTTCCAAATATTAATTGTCGGGCATTTTATTGTAAGAATTATAACTACAGTCAATTAGAAGAAAATAGATATATTTGTTATAGTATATAGTTTATTTTAATGGTATATTTGATTATTAAAATATATAAAAACAAAAGGGTCATTTATTTTCAAATAGAAACAAAGCAAATAATTAGATTGCATTTGTATACTTATATGTTAATAAAACAACATCCTTCCTTATGCGTAGATACTTATATTTTTGTATGTAAGGTTCTATAATTATATGCTAATCATTATCCATCTATATAAATTATAATAAATCGAATATATTAGATGCAATGATATAAAATAGATAGTTTTTAGGAGATTATGTTACGATAAGAACAATATCATCTAATTAAGAAGATTCTGTTTAGGTATATATCCACACTCACGGTCGATTGTCGTCGCTTTTAAACAACGGTACTATAATGCAGTACCTTCGTTACGTATTTGTTTTTGGTTTTTCATGGACCTAAACATAAACATGTACATACACATATCTCTACTGGATTGTATGTTTGCCTTGCAATTTGAAAAATTGTTTTACTAACATTGTACGTAAGTACAATGGTTATGTTTGTATTAATATGAAAGTAAAATATATTATATACTAAATACCTCATATCAAATAATTGGTAAGGAGTTATAACAAAACCCCATGAATTTTGATTTTCACGTTTTTCAAATACTTATTTAATTATTTAGGCAATTTTTATTCCAAACATTTTGAATAATTTATATTCAGTTATATTGAAGAAGCTTTTTATTCTTTTTTAAAATAAAATATGTTTTATTTGCTCTTTTGTTCTTCAAGAGTAATCTCACTCACTTATCACGACATGAATTCGTGCCAGGCGTGGGTATGGGTATTGCGAAGTGTCCTTACGATCCTGCCGACAATTCAACAGCTGTTTGGGTTGAAAAAGGAAATCCAGGAGATTTACCAGCTCTTTATTCCGGAACTAATGCTGAATTCACCAAAGCTGATACGGTTATTTTTCGTACCGATCTTCTCAATTTTACCACAGGCCGTAAAGCTTACAGCTTTAAAAGAACACTTAAATATGATTCAAAATGGCTAGATAGTGAGTGAAAAAATTATATTTATTTGATGATTTTTTAAACTTTCAAATATTATTGAAATTAAATAGTCGAATAATATATGTAATATACTTTTAAAGCAGAACTAAGAAATAAAATATAAATAACAATATCGCACAACAAAACATAAGATATACGCTTTATAAGTAATCTTAAAAGGATAAAAATGTTTATAATTCTATAAAAGGTTGCTCAATTAAAAATACACAAGCTTGTAACAACAAAAATTTTAAACTTGGCATCAGCATAATCCTATATATATATATATATATATATATATATATATAATATGGAATGGAGAGGGAAATGAACTTTATTGATGATAAGATTTTAGAATTTTTTGTAGTAAACGCTTATACATATGTAATTAAATATTCAATTCAAATATTTGAAAGGAAAAATTTAATTTTTATTTTTCAGAACCAAACTTCGTAGGCTCTTTTGACATTGATGACCACGTTTTCTTCTTCTTTAGAGAAACAGCTGTAGAGTACATCAATTGTGGCAAAAATGTGTATTCACGTGTCGCTCGAGTTTGTAAAAGAGACACTGGTGGTAAAAATATTCTTTCACAAAATTGGGCAACCTATTTAAAAGCAAGACTTAATTGCTCGATTCCAGGAGAATTTCCATTTTATTTTAATGAAATACGTAAGTATACATTTAATCGAATAGTAAAGAAAATTTTTATGAAATTATTTTTAAAAGTTTATATATTTTTTTTCAAATTTAATTTTATATCTGAATAAAAACTACTTTTAATGTATGTATTATTTTAAATTATTTAATAATTTATTAAAGCAATAAATTAGTGATAACATTTATTAAAACTTAAATCATCTTTAATTGGTTTGTACTATTTGTATAGAAATTGTTAATACAATATATTGAATTTATATAATTTTATATGTAGTATTTAAATCTTCTATATATATAATATGGTGATGACTTTATTCAAAATAATGTTCAGCAATATTCTTTACTATTTTAATATAATAATTATGTATGTTTTGCAAAATTATCGAAAATAGTATTTTTACATAAAAAATTTAAATAGTTTTAATAAATATCAGTAAATATCAGTTTAATCTACTTATAATATTTAATTTTTAAAAGTAAATTTCTTTTCATAATTTTTTAATTTATAATTTTTATTTAATACTTTCTAATGGTGAATAAAATTGCACAATATTTTGATATTTTTTATTTTTAATAAATTAAATGTTCTAATACATGGTCAAAAATGTTTGTGCTGTATGTTAAATAAGGAACAAGTGAATATACATTTTATCTTGAGTTGGTTGACATATTCAACTCATTAGTAAATTATATATATTTTTGAAAGTAAAGGTACTTTGTAAAATGCATTCAACGTATTATCTTCTTGGTTCTATAGTGTCTGCATCTATATATTTATTTAATATCATAATACTATAAACTGTACATACCATGTTATGTACAGTTAATTTTTAATTTCATATAAATATAATGAATAAAATTAATAATTGATACTAGCTTAATGCTTAAAATAGTTTCATTATAATAATACCTACTTACGATTTATTAGGTAGGTGTTCATAAAGTGTAAAAGATAGTGTTAATTTGTGGTATATAGTTTCATCAATTAAAGAATTTAACAATGAAATTTGCTGGAACCATGTTAATCAGTAATATGATTTAATAAATAAAGTTGAGTTTTTTTTTATTATGAACAACTTTTAAAAAATCTATTAACAAAGTATTTATTATGCTATTTGTTGCTTTGATTTTACATTCTTGCTTAGAGATTCAAAAATTTTGTTTAATACTTTATTATACATCTATTATTTGTATTGAACTTTCTTATTAAATTATGGTCTAAAAAGTATATCTTTAGAACATATTAAAAAAATTTTAATATTTTCGTTTTTTAATGATATATTCTTGTATATTAATTACCAGAACCATGTTTTGGCCTAATTGATAAATTTTTGAATTTTCTGTCACAGTATTTTGCAATTGTTCACTCAATGAATTTATAGTTACTTAATTTAAAAAAATTTCCTTTTATCATGCTTAGATGTATTTGTACATGAAAATCAAAAGATTTTGATAACTATCTTCTACTTTGCTTTAATTTTTTAGAAAATAAATTATATCTACTAAATAAATGTATCACCATACACAAATTGATAACACAATTATTTGTACCTATTATAATTAGTTATATGAATAAATACTGTATTATTCATTCAATTTGTTATACTAATTTTGTTGTATTATAAATATGTCAGTAAGGTTATAATTATTTTAAAAATACTCTATATTTTTTATTTGTACTTAATATTGAATGAAATTTTAAATTTTCATTTAAATTGATGTTTATGTCAAGAAATTTACATGTGTGCTGTTTTCTATCAATAAATTTCAGAAAGCATCTACAAAATACCGAACGATAACACGCGTTTTTATGGAATATTCACAACAGCAATAAATGGTTTAATAGGATCAGCTATTTGTTCTTTTCACATTGATGCCATCCAAGAAGCCTTTCGTGGCAAATTTAAAGAACAAGCAACGAGTAGCAGTGCCTGGTTACCAGTGCTTTCCAATAAAGTTCCAGAACCTCGACCAGGACAATGTGTTAATGATACTGAAACATTACCCGATACCGTACTTAACTTTATTCGTTCACACCCACTAATGGACTCAGCAGTATTACACGAAAATGAAAAACCAGTATTTTACAAACGAGATATTATACTTACAAGATTAGTAGTAGATAAGGTGTCAATTAATTTTATTGGAATCGATTTTAAATATATTATATATTATGCCGGATCCAGTAAGTTGTCTTCTATTTGTTTAATTATATGAATTTATCATAACTAATAATTATCACTATCAAATTATCAAAAACTATTCTAATGAAGTAAAATTTATGAATATTCTTATTTTTTAAATATAAGCATTGTTATTATCAATCTTTTTTTAATGTAATAAATTAAATGCTTCAATTTTAACAATTTTCTTTAAAAAAAATAGACCAAAATAGTATTATGATATCATATTCCAAGATTAAAATATATTATAAAGTGAATTGTATGAAAACTATTATAATTTAATAATGTTTATTTAGAATTAATAAAAACACAATTAAGAAAATTAGAATTTATATTAAATAAATAGTATATAATATTTTAACTATTTATAATTAATTCAATTAATTATAACATTTAAATTATGAAATATTTGAAGGATATCCTTAAGAAAATTCATGTTTATTTACTAAAATACAGCAGCGTAAAAGAATATAAATAAAAGGAAATCAAGAAAATCTGAAAAAATGAAATATAAAATATTTATAAATTGTGATATAAGTTAAACAATGAAAATATAATTTTAATATTTTTGAAGATTGATTTTAATTTTGACATTTTATTTTATTTTCCTATAAAGATATTCAATATTGGTTAATGAGTAGGAAATGACTAAAGTATTATAGAAAAAGCATAGTTATTAATGTAAAGCAATATAAATGATTGAATATCATTAATCGTTTTTGAAAAAAATATTACATTAAATAAATATTCAGTTATAATTAATATAATACTATTACAAATATTATTTATTATAGTATGCTACAACTATATACACATACTTTCAACTTTTTCATAAACTTTTTGTTCTTTTTAGGTGATGGAAGAGTTTATAAAATTGTGCAGTGGATGGATAACGATGAACAGTCCCAATCAATTTTGTTAGATATATTCGATGTCACACTAGGAGAAGCGATCCAGGCAATGGAAATATCACAGGAGCATAAAGCTCTTTACGTGGCATCTGATCATAGAATAAAACAAATAGATTTAGTTATGTGCTCTAGACGATATGATAATTGCCTAAGGTGTGTCCGTGATCCGTATTGTGGATGGGATAAGGATACAAATGTTTGCAAACCATACATTCCAGGGTAAATTAATAATAAATAAGTTTAACAAAATTATGAAGTAATATTATAGATGTTATTGATTATGAATATATTAATTATTTATTACTTATTATTTTTCAAATAAATCAAACGTTTTCTATAAAATTTAATTTTTAGTTGTGTATTAAAGATTATGAAATGTAAATTTTCTATATATAAGTATTAAAATGTATTTTTAGTGAAATTATTAATTCTATAATTAAATAATGTATTTAAAAATGAATGATAAGTCTATAATGTTATAAAAAAATATTCTTAACAGTTTAACAATTCAATTCTTATTTAAAAAAAATTTACAAAAAATATTAAATCAGTGTAAATATAATTTTTGAACTTATCAATGTAAATTTTATATATAATTTTGAATTTTATATGATTCAATAAATAAAATTAATCCTTTTGAAATATTCAGTTTGTTACAGGATGTATCAAATAATACAGTAGATGTGTGTGATAGTAGCATAGGTAAACGTAAACTAATGGTAACTTGGGGGCAGGCAGTGCATTTAAGTTGCTTTATTAAAATGCCAGAAGTATTGACGAATCAAGAAGTTAGATGGTATCATTATAGCAAAGAAAAAGGTCGCTATCAAATTGCTTACAAGTACAGTATCACAAGTGATAAATTTATTGAAACATCAGAGAAGGGATTAGTAATTATTGGTGTAAACGAATATGATGCTGGTAGATATGATTGCTGGTTAGGAAGTACGTTACTTTGCTCATATAATATTTCCGTGGATGCGCATAGATGTTTAGCACCTGCAAAATCTAACGATTATCAAAAGATATACTCAGACTGGTGTCATGAATTTGAAAAGTATAAATCTGCAATGAAAAGCTGGGAGAGAAAACAAGCAGTAAGTATAAATATTGTGGTTTAAGATTATAGAAATTAATATAACTTTAAATATAGATTTAATAAGCATTATTTGTATCTCTAGTCGATCGCTTGATACAAAACGTGATTTCTAAATTTAAAATTTAAAAAATCCAAATCTTCCTCTCATATGATATCAAAAATAAAAATGATTTCAGTCTGTCTATGCTACTATATAAATGTATACTATAAATGTATATATATATCCATATATTATAATATATAATCCATATAATATAAATATATTATAATATTTATTTTATATATATATATATATAAATATAAAATAAATATAATACAAATCCATATAATATAAATATACTACTATAAATCTAACTTCAGTTTTATCAATTCAGTATTTATCAATTTATAATTATAGTTTATTAATGCAATTTTCAAGAACTATATAATATCAATGATGTTTTCAAGGAATGTAATTCAGTATATTAAATAATATTAGGGAAAAAAATTAAAATAATGTTATGAATTTTTTTTTATATTGAATTACTGCTATTACGAAGTGTTTAAATATTATATGTATATATATATATATATACAATTATATTTTAAGTGTTAATACTGAAATAATGAAATTTCAAATGAAATTATTTAATAAATTTATCTAGTATAATAAAAATTATATTAAATATAGATTGAAATATTTCTTAAGTAAAGAAAATATATTGACTAACATCAATAGGAAAGAAATTTAAATTTAATAACTTATTATTCATAAATATTTGTAGACTTATTAGTAATTAGAATATCTTAAAATATTTTTAATAAAAGAGCTGTTTTATTTTTTATAAAAAAAATTTTTTATAGCAATGTGTATTCAAGCAAAATGATAGTAACCAGAATCTCCATACGAATGAAGTGTATGGAACACCATTAGTCTGATAGAAACGTTCATTGATGCCCTAATCAAATCAAAATGAGAAAGCGAATTTGATTTTGGATATTCTATCATATTACTGTACAAGTAATTTACAAATTGAGCATTTTTGGAAATTGTATTTGTATGCTACATTATTTGGTGCGTGACATTATGAATTCTCATTAAATAATAGTGAGTAAAAAGTGGGGGGGAAAGAATAAAAATAATTATTATAGAAAATCTTTAAAAAAGAATCTTAATCATATTGAATAAGTACAGCAAAAGTAGTAACAAAAAATGAATCATTGTATTAGAGGACACAAAAAGAAATTAATGCATGGAAGCCAATTATTTTAATTATTAGATTACGCAATTATTTATGTAATGTAAAGTTTCTATAATTTTACCATGTTTTAGACTTTTCTTCTCTTCCTTTGTAATGCTTTTTTTATATATTTTTTTAAATAAAATGCTTAAATGTAAATCACAGAATACGATGATTTAAATTATACTAATTTTTTTCAATTACATATTGTATGAAATCTTTTGAAAAAATTAAAGAATCAATGATTTACAAGGCAAAGAATCCATATTTATAAATAGTTTAAAATATTGATGGATGTCAGATTGAATATTAATGAATAAATTAATTCTTTTTATTTTTAAGAATACTTTTTAAGAATTACAATTCTTTTTTCACATCATAATCTAGAATGAACTTTATTAGAATAATATATTCGCCAACACATGAATATAAAATAATCAAACAAAGACAAAATTCAACCATATACATACTGGAATAATAAATAATGTTTATATTGCAGGAATACATTCATTTCACTGATCCAACATAAATAAGCAACATCAAATAAAAAAACCGAAAGGCTAAAAATATGATATAATGTTTCATTTTCTTAGATCTGTGATATAAAAAAGAAGATAGCATGTAGTATTTGAATGAAATAAATAAAAATAACCAAGTAAAATATAAAAGAAAAACGAAATAGCTTAATACATTCATAAAAGTTAGCTTCTAATTTATCCTAAACTATTAATGTAAATTATATGTAGATTTAAAGAAGAGATTTTATTACAGATAAAGAAATATAATTTTTTTTATCAGATAAAAATATACAATTATATACTAAGCAGACATATGAATAATAAACATTTTTGTCTCATATTACATACTAAGATTACTTGGACTAATGGGTGCACTTTATACTCTTTTTATATATTTTTTGTTTATTACTACATATTGCACAATTTATCAATGGTATAAGATTTTATATGTATTACTAATGAATACAAATTGGTGAACTTGTTTTTGTATAATATATATCATTGTAGCACTATCATTAATTGAAATGATTACTTAAACATGTACTTATATTTTTAATATATATTTTTCGACTATTTAAGTAAAATTTTGACAAAACCTTTCTTATACCTAATATTTATTAAAATATTCATTTTTTATATTATCTATATTTTGTATAATTAAATTCATTTATTAATTAAATAATATATATTTATTATTTATACAATCAATTATCGTTTTTTATTTATAAAATTATAATAATAATAAATTGGAAAACTGCAATTAAAAATATTAATATGAATTAATAGATAAATTCAAACTTTAAATTAAAATATAAATCGTATAATAAATATCTGCTTATCAAATGTTACATACAAAATATTCAATATTTATGCATTGAGAGCTAGTTGAGAATTTAATATACTATACTTTCAATATAAATTAAATTTTTAATTTGAATATTATTCTAGATGAAAATTCTTTTCTTCAAAAAAATATTTAATTACCTACTTCAATACTAATAATTGAAAACAAAAACTATTTATACTAAACATGCATTAAATTTAGTATAGTTATAATAAGATAATTATTAGCCCAATATATTCAAAATGAATAATCAATATTAATGGTAATATTGACTATGCGTAAGCAGATATTAAGTGGAAGTTCATAACTGAACTTATAAGATTAAAGCAACAAATTTCGAATTCATAAGATTTTCGGTACATGCTTCAAGCGCCGTTTTAAAATTACGCCGCATAAATTGTAAATAGCATAAAATAATCATAAGGTTATTAGATCTTGATTTCTCTGAATCATGACTTTGAACACATCTTTCTGACCTAGGGACATCTTCCAGTGTACTCTTCAATACTCAAAAAATTTCTAATGTCTTTTGTTTTGGATCTATCTTTTATCATATATGCTTAACATGTTGCTCTATTTTTAGCAGTAATTTAATATCGTAAAATAAATTCTCTTATCGATAATTTGTTCAGTACGTAGTAATCATAATTATTATAAAATAAGTACATAAAAGTTGATTAATATTAATTATTAATGTAAGCAATAAACTTAAATACTAAACATCTTGTGAAACATTGAATTATAATGTATCAATTTAAGATATATTCGGCTAAAGTAATAATTAATAATTAATTCTAATATTAAATCTTTATTTAATTTCATTTTTACTACGCCTTCGCGTAGCAACGTCGATTGAATTCTCGATTAGCCAAAAGCTTCGATTTTCGATCGTTTCCAAAGGCTGCTTGGCCTCGAACGATTTCGTTACTTTCGCCGAATTCTCCAATAGCCGAAAGCTTGTTTCGAGCTGAGCTAGTTGCCGTGCCGATACTTAAAAAAGCGCGCGACAAGACTTCACGTAGTTAACGTAAAGCAGTTATTCTTTACGTAATGTCGGTTGTCATAAAATGCACGGTATCAGTTATTCCTCACAATCAGTCACTCGTCCTAGCCAGTTACCTACGCTCAAGCCAAGGCTATCTCATGAAGTCTACACCAAGGAGAAGGTTACGCAACACACGCTCACTCAACGCAGCTATTGCAAGGAACGCTGTTCACTTCTCTAGTGCACCAATACAACAATCCGTCAAGAGGTGACTGCCGTTCTAGAAAATAGTTGACTATACAAAGATGGTATTTGATCCTTCTACTCTCGAAGGTATATCTTTTGGTATGTCGTTATTGCGAATAACTAGCACAAAAATACTCCCATGCTCCCCTTATGAGTATGGCCGATTCTCCCTGAGACATTTCCATACTCTTCCATACTCCTACTATATATAAATACTATTCCGTAGTAAAAGCTAATTTTTTAAGTCAATTAAACAATACCATATATATAAAATATTGTAATGTTCATTTGTTCGAAAGTTTAGTTTCTGACTCGAACTGCCAAATTCAATCGTTCAGTTTATAAGTCTCTCGCTTTAGCGATACTTCGGAAAGGACACATGGAAGGGCTGTAAATATGTACAGTGTGAAACTTCGTTTAGAACATCGTTTGTTTTGTTTTATTAACAATTACATTATTGTAGTACTACATTCGCTTCTTGTGGGAGAGAGGGAATATTAATAAGAGGGAAAAATTCTATTACAATGACATGGTTGCTCCTTGGTGATGGTGGCGATGTCGTTGATGATATGGGGATCAGCAATGGATTTTGTATATTGCCTGCAGGGAAATATAACTTGTTGGGTTCTATGCCATCGTCATAAGGGTCAGCAAGAAGAGTCGACCATGCTCATCAGGGGAGTATGGTAATGTCTCAGGGAGAATCGACCATATTCATAAAAGGAGTATGGAAATGTCTCTGAGAGAATCGACCTTATGAGTAAGGGGATATGGGAGTATTTTTGTTACCGTTCAGATTTTTAATGATAGTAAAATAAATAACATTAGTGTGTTTTATGCAAATATAATATAAAATATTATATCTCATACAATGTATATATATATATATATACATTATTGATAAATCTTACTTCTGTATCAAATAATTAATATGTACAATACAAAATATTCATATAAAATTAAAATTTTTAATTTTGCAAAATGTTCACGAATTTTTACATAACCGTCAATGAAGAGTAAAAAAATTACCGATATTGTCAAGATTGTTATAGTGCATAGCATTGAATAATCGAATAAAAATATAAAAAACTTCTAACCTATTTTGTCATTTTTGTAAAACGTATGAATAAACTTTAAACTTAGTTAATTATCAGTCAAGAGAATTGTACATTATATATAATATATATTACAAAGTCCTCAAGTCAATGCGTAAACTAAGTTTTTATCATTATGACTACGGTAGTACGAGAACTTATAAGATGAATCACATCAGCCAAATTTCTTTCGCCATTGTATTTTAATTAATTCTCTGTACGTGTGTTTAGAATTTAATCATTTGGTTCGCATGTGTTGTTAAATATCATTTTTTTATAACTTATATTCTAAGAGACAAACTAACAATATATCTATAACATTTACATCGTTGTGGTGTTAAATCATCTAATAAATAGTTACATTCTCATTTATTTCAATTTCAGAACAATAACAGTTATGTTCACCTAATTTATTTGAAATTACCAACCAAGCATGTATTATAAATAAATGATTTAATATAAGTAACATTATTTTAACCTTAACTTATGATGAAAATAATATGTAATGAAAAAATAAACTTTTATTATTATATTAACTGTGTAAATATACAATGTAAACAACTGACTACTAAAACATAGTTAATTTCATTTTTATTTAAACTACAATTGATAATTGGAACATCTATAATATAAATTGAAAATACTGCTTTACCAATCCTAGTTATGCGTAATACCTTATTACGCATTAAAAATATTTTTAAAATAAATTTAAAGTTGAATAAAAAAGTATTTCATGAAATAATTAAACGATTGAATTTATATAAATGCAATATATGTTATACATAAATTAATATGAAAAAAAAATTGAAACTTTAAATTAGCAGTATCCAGTATTTCAGAAATGAAAATGATAAATTTCAAAATATTTTTGTTTTATGTTATAAATGTTTTAAAATATAATTATTATTCAATTTTAAACAAGATCTATACATGCTATAGAAATAAAATACTGAAATTTTTGGAAAAAAAATATGTTACTATTTTTTTAGCTATACTAATAAAAATATAATTATAGAGTCTGTTTGCATATAGTTGGCTATATTTAATAGTTATAAACAATTCAGACAAACAGAGAGAGATTCCATTACTTAATGTCGTTAAATTTGACTATGTTTTTCGTTAAAACATAGTACATTTATATTTTAAACATTTTTCAAAAAGAATATCTGTAATTCGACTGCATTATACTCTTATGTAATATTCTATGAAAATTCAAAATTTAATTTAATGCTACCTAATATATTTCTTTATATATTTTTTAATAGAAAAATATAAAATTAATTATTACAATAATATAACACTTATAAAAATTTTCTTTAAATAAAATGTAAACAGTTTCATTTTTTCTAATATTTTTGATATTTTTCATTTATAATGTTGGATAATAATTTTTTATTTATTGTATCTATATTTTAATTAAATTAAAAGTAAAAATATAAAATAAATAAAAACAACTGTTTTTTAGAGATAATAATGTTATCCAACAAAAAATTAAGGATACTGAAAAGTAATTGTAATAAAATATTGCAATAAGAAAACTTCTTGGTAATGTATAACTAGTTATTAAAATGAAAAGGCTACAAAAAAGCTAACTATGCAACCTACATACAATTTCGTATTCCAAGAATAAATTTTTGCTGCACTAATTATATGTACATTTTAACATCTATATGTTATATACATATAATACATGTGCATTTATATACATTTATTTTACAATTTATACGTGCATATACGGTAAATTATACTTCAATACTCGAATAACTCTTTTCCAGCACGCATCAATAAGATTAATTCGATTAGTAAAGTAATAATAAAATATTAATTATAAAAATGATTATTTTGTAAAAATATTTTTGAATGACTTTAATATACTTTAAATATAAAT